CTTTGGGGCCAAAGAAAACCGGATTCTTGGTAAGACATGCAAACCTTTGCAAATACACGGGTCCCACCACTTATTTTTTAGCCACGTCAGAGTTTAGCCTAACTGAAAAACGACGTAACGCTCCTCGCAAGCGCACTGTGGAAGGATCGAGCTTAGAAGAAAATATGGTTATATGTACTTCACCTGGCCGAACGATAGCAGATGATAGTACATCTCGGCTAATCCGTGGTGGACAACAAATACTCCGTACTATATATGCGTTTCAGAATGTAATATGTTTTGGTTTTATCTTCAAGTTAAAGTTATTTAAATTTATTAATATTTTTAACACCAAACAAATATATTTGTGTTATTTTTTTATGCTTGATTTAGCATATTTAAGTTTGATTATAACTTTCCCATTTTCCATTAGCGTATTTTTTTAAACTGTTAAATAGTGTGGTTTTAAAAAATCTTTATAGAAGTTGTTTAAACATTTTTCAAGTTTATTGTAGTTAACACTTAATTAATCATATGCTAATGAGCTTTCTCATTTCGCGTGCGCTGAAAATCTTCCTCACTCATCAATAAAAGAACGCAACATCTTACGATTTATAGTATACTATTATATCTCTACTATTATAAAAATTAAAGTTATTTTCGTTAAAATTTTGGTAAGTTATCCATATTGGAGTTGGTTATATGTTGCATATATTCAATTCAACGTGACTGTAGAATAACTATTATACAACCATATCCTAGTCCAACCTGTACCTCTCCCGGCCCAACCTAACTGGCTAACACTATCCCGTCGTCTCATCCCGTGCACCTCCACTCGGCTCCGCGCACGCCACTCTTCCGATGGGCGTCTTTTTTTTCTCTCCATTTTTTCTTTTTCTCCCTATATTCCTGATCCTCTTCATCTCTTTCCAATCTCCTCTCTTTTCTCCTCCTTTTCTCTTCCAAATTTTTCTCCTTGTAAATATTTTCTTTTTGAATTTATTATTGTTTAAAGTGTGTATGCGGGCAAATTTGTTACTTTGCAAATATTCCATCTAGAGTAAAAAAAATATTACTAATTGAATAATTAAGATTTTAATTTTTGATTGATGAGATATAGCAAAATGCACATGCATGCGTCAACTTTTACAATAGCCACCTAATCGATTTGTGAAACTATGGAAATGCGTACATAAGAGATTCTTTGTGTGATGACAGATGAAGCACGCGCAACCTGGCTCAATGCTATATATGATTTATGACTTTATTTTGCTATCGTTTTGTTTGACTGGTTTTTGTTTGTCGTTTAAATTAACTGAGTTCTTATCAATTGCGAAAATTATTTTCACATGTTGTAATGCATCGTTATTTTTTAAGTGTTTATAAAAAGGAAGGCTTCCAAACACGTCGTAAACTGATTACTCCAAACACGAAATATACGTGTCTCGTCTAGAGAAGCAACAACACCCAAAAGTTCAAAACCCACAACAGTACTGCATCCAAAGTAATTAACCGCATAAAGTCGTAAACCACGCTAAAGTTCATTCATGATCATTAGACCTGTACCTGTACGCATGCGCATAATTGTTTGGAAGATGCGTGCAACAATCGACAAAGGAAAAAAAAAGGGGGAATCACGGATAGCGCTTTCGAAAGCAACTCGCAGTCGCCCAACGCGACCAATGTCCACATGCCCCTTTGAAACTGCTTCTGTCCACGATTCATGAGCGTTGGGTCTGGGGTTCACCTTCCGTCCTTCCCGATTGAGCACCGAATCCCAATTCTTAAGGTATGATATTTTCTTTGACAAATTTTGGTTAAATTTTAACAAATTTCAATCAAATTTATTGTTTTAAATTTGAATATTCTTAAAAGCCATTTGAAATTCACTCAGAAATTGCTTTCATCCCACCTCGAAATCTCGCAATTTTCGTCGAAAACGTAAACCCCAGTTTAGTTTGGTCCCAACCATTGTCAGTATGACGGTTTTCACCAAATTTCAGTTAAAATTACTGTTCTAAATCTAAATTATTCAAAACCATTTGAATCTAAATCTACTTTCGTCCCTCGTCGAAACAACCATTCACGCCTGCAGCCTGCTGCTGCTCCCTCCGGGCAGAATCCAGACCGTGGCGCGGTGACTAAACCAACCAACCAACCACCACGGTCCACGGGCGTGAACGTGATCAAACCGGGACTCTGGGAGAGCACGCACACGGGGGCAACTCGCCTGCCCGCGCCGAACGGACGCAAGAGCAAGTATTACAACAGACTGATGTCTACGTGGAGGGGCGAGAAACGAAGAGAGAGAACTGGACGGGCGACTCGCGACGCGCCTGCTTGAGGCCGGCGGATACGTGCTACTGTCGCTGGTATTGGTTTAGGCTCGTTTCTATGCATTAAATACTAGCGGGTCCATCACCACCGCGTGGTGATCTGGCGCACGTTACAGCCGACTGCCGGCGAAATCATTAGCCATGCTCATTGTTTCGCCGGTTCGCCCAGATCTACCACGTTGCATACGACTCCCCGGTTGATACCGGAAGAGAAAGGGCATATTCACTTTAATGCAATTTTCAACCATACCATTTTTTTCAGTTAAGTTGTTAAAATTTTGGCTATGTTTAGTTTGTTGCCAAATTTTAGTAAGAATTTTGATAAGATTGTCAAAATTTTGGCAACCTTATTAAAATTTGACAATGCCAAAACTTGGTAAGGTTGAAAATGGTAGCAAAATAAACAAGCAGAAGAAGTAGACGCGATCAGCGCCAACCGCGCATGCGCAGCGGCAGTTAAGCCTTTAGCCGCCGCCGCCGCTTCGGAACAAGGCCGTGACGTGACGTGACGGCTTCTTCATTTCATCCACCGCGAAACCTTTTTAATTCCAGCCCGACCGGGTCCAGCGGAAGAGCGTTTCCAGTCGCAGCTCCCAGCAGGGGCGGCGGCCTTGTTCTAAGATCAGCTCGATCGCGTTCCACCGTCACTACTCGCATGACCGCGACGTCGGAACGAGCGACTTGGTGGAGGTAGGTTTTGTTTTGTGTTATATTTATGCGCACCGTTTTTACTAGATATACTAGTATGTAATGCGTCACTTAATCTTGGCTAAATCTTTATACGGATCATCACGGTCTTTTGTGCACGGTCACACATAGGTTTCTTTTCTTTTTTATGTCTGTGTAGTGTTTTAGCATTTTCGATCCTCTTTCCTGTATGAATTTGCCTGTATCCTCTCTCCTCAGTCCGGGCTCGTTCTGCGACCCAGGACGAAGATTAACTACGCAAGTAAAATAAAAAAAGTTATTAAAACTTGTTTAATTACGTTTTAATTATTAGAAAATTGATTTATTTGATATTTTCAACAAACTTTTCACACAAAACGTATATAGCTTTTTAGTTTGAAAAGTATTAACAGAAATATAGCTTAAATATGCATTTTAATCACAAAAGTACGAGCCTAATTGCGATTAACATGAGCCAAACTTGTCATGCGATCATCTGGCAAAACAAACCTGTAGAACGAATCTGGTGAATAATTAACAGTACTATATCCGATCCGAGCTTGTTCACCAAACATGTTGTTTCAGGAACACCAAAATATGTTCAGGTCCATGTGGAACTCAATTATCAAATACTACCACTCATTTTGAACGCCCATGACAATGCACTCTGCTCTTGATTCTCGAAGGTCGTCGTCTTCTGGATTATTTCCTCGTCAAACACTTCAGAAACTTCTACCGGGCTGATACATTTGACTATGATACCGAGCAGCATTCGGTAGCCTTTTCATCAGGGCAAAAGCAAATTATGATTGTGTGGTAAAACTGCAAGTGCATGTCAACGATGACTACTGACCATTTACTTTATTTAATTCAGGTTGATTAGCGGTTAGCACGAGGAAATGGAACGGAAAAAAGACGAAGAAGCCAAGAAGAGGAAAGTGAACACACCGATCTCACGCTAGCGACGTACGGGGAACTTCCACGTGCTACAGGGAGCTACGCATCTCCGTCGATCCTTCGTTTAGTCGCATTCAGTTAAAAACCAACAACCTGATCATTCGCTTAACAAACTGAATTCCCACAAAATTAATCTACGTGCACAACGAGGCCGGACTCCAATAAGGTTTTCAGTATTCCTAACATTCATTCCCTTTAAAGGGACTTCTGATCCGGTGTATTTTTTTTTCTCTCTGGACGATTGTTTAATATATAATAGAAGTGCCTTTTTCTCTGGATGATTGTTTAATAGAAGTGCCTTTTTGTTAATACCAACGTGTTCAACATATGAAACATGCTAGCCTTAAAAAAATGGAATCGCTTGAAACGAATCGCATCGTTATGTAGGAGTTTACTGACCGTATGATCAACAAGATTTGTAATTTTTCTACTTATCCGTTGAGCTTCACTACATGTTTAGGTTTTCGATGACATAGGTACCGTTTGGATGTGTACAGAGAGGGGTGTGGGGCTCAATTTAGATCCTCTGCAGTGGAGGAGAGAATGCAGAGGGAGCTACAGTGGGGCAGGGTTTAGAGGGTGGCAGATAGAATATGGTTGTCAGAGAGGGGGTATTGTTCAATGATTAATCAGAGTTCTGTGAAGTAGTGTTTATAAATATATGTGTAAATTTTGTAATATATGACCTTCTTCGAATGCTTAAATGCATAAAACTATATAACCCGAATATGTTTGTACAATTTTTCAATTGAGCAACTATAGCTTAACATTAACTCAAATATGTCCAGTTTAGATTTTCAATAATCATAGTACTCCACTAAATAGTAACCAGGTTTGTTCGCATTGGATAATAAAACATAAAAATAATCTAACGAAACATACACAACACTAAATAAGATCCTAAAAGATAAATCTGTGTTTTTCTTCACTATTCACCAAAGAATTGTCTTTTTATTATTTTCAAATAAAGTTTAGTTTGAACTTAAGATTTGACGAGAACGTATTTCTTGCCTATATTATCTTTAATATTTTTTATTAAATTACAAACCTTTTAGATTTTATTTCATGGGTTTTTATTTATTTTGATGATTTTTATGGACATCGATAAAATATGTTTACCTACACTATTGCTAGGCAGAAATTTCTTTTCACCCATGTCAAAGAAAATATTGCTACGCAGCCTTAATTAGCATTTCTAGAAAATTCTACTTCTTCCATGTGTAAGTTGTACTGCAGGCCAGGCCTAGCCACACACATCAAACAACGAGCATGCGGTGGATTTAGCAATTTCGTAGCATCCCCGTGTTCTCCCCACACAAACCTTCGCGCCGCCCATTTTTCCACCTCGTCGTCCTTACATATAAAACGTACTCCACTCTTCACCGGTTACCATTTCATATCCCGATCGCTGCTACTACTAAGCACAGTGATCCATGGCGCCAGCTCGAGTCCACAGCAATGGCCGCCTCCTCATGCTTCTCCTCCTGCTCGCCGTCGCCGGCTTTGCGGCGGCGCAGCCGAGCCAGGACAATCCTCCGGCGGGCTACTACGCGACCAACTTCAGCCCGTCCATGGCCATCGTCATCGTCGTCCTCATCGCCGCCTTCTTCTTCCTCGGCTTCTTCTCCATCTACGTCCGCCACTGCTACGGCGGCCGCGGCGACTACTCGACCACCCCGCTGCCCCGGTCCGGCGCCGCGCGGTCGCGGCGGCAGCGCGGGCTCGACCAGTCCGTGCTCGCGACGTTCCCGACCATGGCGTACGCCGACGTGAAGGCGCACAAGTCCGTCAAGGGCGCGCTCGAGTGCGCCGTCTGCATCAGCGAGTTCGACGACGACGAGACGCTGCGGCTGCTGCCCAAGTGCTCCCACGTCTTCCACCAGGACTGCATCGACACGTGGCTCGCGTCGCACGCCACCTGCCCGGTCTGCCGCGCCAACCTCGTCGACGGCGCGTCCGAGCCGGCGAGCGATGTCGCCGCCGAGCTACCGACGGCGCCCGCTCCGCGCCCGGAAGGCGCGACGCCGTCCGAGGCAGCAGCGCCAGGGGGGGAGGCGCCGGCGGCGGCGGCGGCGGCGGCGGTGGTGATCGACGTGGAGGAGACCGAGGAAGAGAGGATCATAAGAGAGGAGGCGGCCGAGCTAACGCGCATCGGCAGCCTGAAGCGCGCGCTGCGCTCGAAGTCCGGCCGCGCGCCCGCCGCGCGTTTCCCGCGCTCGCATTCGACGGGGCACTCGCTCTCCTCCTCCGCCGCGGCGAGCGCCGGCGCCGAGAGGTTCACGCTGCGGCTGCCCGAGCACGTGCTCCGGGAGGTCATCGCGGCGGGGCAGCTCCAGCGAACGACGAGCCTCGTGGCGTTCCGCGCCGGCCGCCAGGGGAGCACGCGCCGTGGCCTCAGGTCGGGAGGCGGCGGCGGCGGCGGTGAAGGCAGCAGCCGCGCCGGGAGAAGCGTCCGGCTCGGCCAGTCTGGACGGTGGCCGTCGTTCCTGCCGCGGACGTTCTCGGCGAGGCTGCCGGCGTGGGGATCAAGGTCGACGCGGAGGGGCGACGGCGACGGGTCCAGCAAGGGCGGCAGGACTGCCGGCTCCGGCGCCGGCGCCGGCGGCAAGTAAGTGGTGTGCGACGACCAGGCGTGCGTGGTTGGGCAACGTGTTTGATGTGGCTTCGCTTCGCCATTGGGGGTCAAATCGGAGGCTGCGAAGAAACTGTTGTTGCTTTCGTCGCCGTGACACGATTTTTTTCTCTTCTTTTTCTTGGTGGAATTTTGGAGGGAACGATGGTTCTTCGTTTTTTCTTCCCCTTGATGATTGTTCATTCATTTTTCTTTTCTTCAAACAAGCATGTACATATATACCGTACAGTGGTTGATAGCAGGAGGAATTTACGACCCAAATTTATCTCCTTCATTCATATAAGTGTGTAACTAGCCATGATGCAAACAAATTTTCCACAAAAAAAAATAGTACATATCTATCAGACGATCACATGTGACTCGTACTTTTATTTTATTTTTTTCGGCGAGTACTTAACTTTTACTTAGTGCGTCCGAATTCACGTGACATCGACAAAGAAATGTACATGTTTGTTTCTATCCAAGCATGCGCATGCCTGTGGTGAATTGAGACCACCAGAAATGATTTCTTCATCCATTTGCCTTATTCAATCTATATAAAAGATTTACTTTTATCCACTTTCTAGAACGTTGGCAGAGACTTCAAAATCAGTGTCGATTGACAGCTGAGAATAATCAGCAACATAAATGCAGGGAAAAAAACACGAAAGTCTTCTCTGCATAACGCGTCAGGTGGTGCATCATCAAAAGGAATGAATCATTGATACATCAGACCAAATTGCGTGACATATGATATGAATTCCAGATGCTTTGACGTTTAATTTTTACTGTTTCCAATCTGAGCAACAGGATAGCCCAGCCCAAAGCCGTCTTCCTCTTGTTCTTTCTTTCTGTCCCTTCACTTTCAGCATGAAGTTACAGACTTATTACAGTGACTTTTCAATTGGAATCTCATGCTTTTCACATGAATAGCAAGTGGACTTTGGGCTTATCGAAAATTTTGGATTTGAATTTTCAACTCAGCCTGTGCTTGGAGGGGAGAACTGTTCCAAAGTCAGCTGGTTCAGAACTCCAGATGGATCACTACATACGTCAGACCTCTCGAGTCTCCGCAACCACAGCCGGCCAGCGGCGACCGGCAGGGCGATTCCATATATCTATATCATCCTTGATTGTTCATTTTAATTACTCTAATCGAAGAAACTAGAGATGATGGCATCTGATCTGACCACAAAACAAAAGCTATCTGAATGGTTCTTCCTTATAGGATTCTTATTTTTATCTTGAAAGGATCTAATGCTTGATGTTATATGCTTCATTCACTATTGGTGGCGAGTGGAATAAGGATGATTAAAGCCGTGAATTGACAAGCACAATCACGAGATGCCACTGGCTAGCATTATCGTCGAGGCAAAACTCACCGTGCACTTGCAGGCGATGTGTTGCATTATTGACAGATTAGACGGCCGATGTGCCATGGATCAACTTCTGTTTCTCCTTTTCTTTTTTTTTTCTTTTCTTTTCATGGCCCAATGTAAATCAGGCCCAAAGTGTAAATTATATGTGGATCCACTCTATATTATTGACAGAATTAGATGGCTTATGGGCCATGGATAAGTTTGGACTTTGGACATATGGGCCTCTCTCTTACCTGTCCTGTTATAGGAAAAAGTACACTGAAGGTCCCTCAACTTGTCATCAGGATAAAAAACGTCCTTGAACCGCAAAACCAGATTTGCGGGGTCTCTTAACTATACAAAACCGGTCACTCAAGGTCCTTCGGTGGTTTTGACCCTAGTTTTGATCTATGTGGTAGGTGAGTCAACGTGGAACCCACATGGGCCCCACATGTCAGGTGTCCACGTCACCCTCTATCTTTCCCCTTTTTCTTTCTCTATCCTCTCCTTCCTTCCTCTCGCTCCCTGCTCTTGCACTCGTAGGGCATGGGGATGCCGGCATTGGGGAGCCCACGGCGGCGCACGCGGCCGGCGACGACAGCTCCTGGGGCGGCGAGAGCTTCCCCTAGGCGGCGCACGGGCTCGGGGAGGGAGCACCGAGAACTAATCCTGCAGCAACCTCCACCGGCTCGTGGTCCAGCACGACAACATGCTCGCCGCGGATCTCCTCACCGTGCTCGCCGCGGACCTCCCCACCAGTGCCGCCGCACCTCTTTGTCATGGAATGCTACCTCGGCGGCGCCGACGCGTGCGCCGAGCTCACCGAGAACGGCCAACTGCTAGTGATGGCAAAGAGGCTGGGGGAGGAGGGGCTGATGCAGGAGTTCGCTAGTAGGGTCCGGCTGCTCATGGACCCGGCATGGACGACGCCGTGGAGGCGGCCGGGAGGAGAAGCGGGGCACGCCGTCGATGCGGCGGCGGAAGAGGAGGAGGACGCCGGCCACCGTACTGCGGCGGGATCCGGCGGGGACGAGGAGGACGACGATGCTGACAAGGAGGAGAGGATCCCGTCGGGAAGAGCGGGCACGGGGCACGCCGATGCTGATGACCACCGGGAGAAGGGAGAGAACAGGGGAAATAAGGAGAGGAGGCTAACGTGGATAACCCTAACATGTAGGGCCCACGGTAACTCAGCCGCCACGTAGACTAAAACCGGGGTCAAAACCACCGAAGGACCTCGGGTGACCTATTTTGTATAGTTAAGGGACCCCGCATATCTGGTTTTACGGTTCGAGGATGTTTTTTTTATCCCGATGACAAGTTGAGGGACCTTCGGTGTACTTTTTCGTCCTGTATATGCACTACTTTGTATATGTTCTCGTTTTGGGTTAAAAAAATGAATGTTATGCTACTGTTATGTCCAAGTCTAATTTGATCAGTTCGAATGAACTAATAGATTTACAAATACGGCACGAACTATCAAATCACGAGATATAGAAACATAGTTTCTGATTGTGAAGAATTGTCTCGCATATTGTCTCCCCATCATCATAGAGACAGGCTGCTGGTCAGTGGTTAATTTGACGCTTTCAAAAGTCCAAGATTGCTCTGCCTTCTCGCATATTGTCAGCGAGATTAAATGTTTGCTGGAAGATGAGAGAGTAGTCACCATGAAGAAGATACAGAGATCTTAGAATCAAGCTAGCCATGTGTTAGCTTGTAAAGCACTAAAGCTCGTGTTGATCATATATCTGATTTCTGGTTAGGAGATTCTTGTAGCCTAATCTCTCAGATTCTCTGTAAGGATTCCATTGGTTGAGTAATAGTATATCTTTGCCCTTCCCCGAAAAAAAAAGAATTGTTTTGCAATAAAGATGAAAATGAAAAACAGAATTTTTGCCGAGCTGCCAACATCTTTCGTGATGAACTTGATGCGCTGAACAGGGTTCGCGGGCCTCGTGGCCTGAAGAGGAGACCCGGGGCTTGGCCCACCAGCCCAGCCCATCATGAATTTCGAATTTGTACAGAAAATTTTTACTAGTAATTTTCTAAATCCATGAGAAGAAGCAGTGTAGCACCACCGCATGTAGGTACTGCCTGGTAAGGTTTGAGATCCTTTAACACCTGAAGTGACTCTAAACTCTTCTGACTTAAATCAAAGGAATTGAACTCGTTGATACATGCATGAATAATCTGCACCAACATCCCTCAGTACCCTGTGGAACATCATTACTTCCCCCACATTTCACAGGCATACACGTCGACATACACATGAACCTAAATAAGTTTCACACAAAATATGATATACCTTTTTTTTTCTGTGTGAGAAATTATTTGTTCACAAACATAATGCATGAACAATATGTGGGCAGAGTGATGGAGCAACCGCATGTGCAGCGAGAAATGTCGATCACATCGTAGGTTGACCCAGCCCGGCACGTGCATCATGGAACAATCCCAGTACATTGTACGGAGTACAACCATTCAATTAGTTTACTGGTGAGTGGACCTTGAGAGAAAAGCAAGAGAAGCGGTCAATTGCCTGACGAGGATAAGCAAAAAGCCTCCGTGATCCAAAAACTGATACGGTCAAGCCCATCGACGGCCACGATTAACCCATCGGTTGCGATGCGTCAGATCTAAGCCCGCCACGCCACGCGAAGTTCTATAGCTTCCTTGCTGTTTCCAACCTCTTCGCAAGTTCGCGATTCCACCTCGCGTCGCCTTGCACCGCCACGCCATGGGCCTCAAGCTCCGGCGGCTCGCGGCCACCCTCCTCTCCTCCCCGGGGGCCAATTCCTCGCCGGCGTCCGCCGCGGACGCGCACCAGGCGGTGGCGCGCGCCACGGCGCACCACCCGCCGGCGGCGCCGCCGGCCGCGCACCACCTGGACGCGCTCCTCGCCTTCGGCCGCGGCTCGCGCCTCTCCGCGTCGGCGCTCGCCACCGCGCTCACCGACCGCCTCCGCGCGGCGGCTTCCGGCAACGGGGACGCCGCCGTGGCCCTCAAGTGCCTCGTCCTCCTCCGGATCCTGCTCGCCCGCGGCGCCTTCATCCTCCGCGATCAGCTCGTCGCCGCCCTCGTCCGGCACCCCGCCTCCGGCCGCAACCCCCTCGCGCTCGCCGCCTTCCCGCTCGGCCGATCCTTCGCCGCGGCCACGTGGGTCAGGTTCTCCGCGCGCCTCCTCGAGCTTCTCCTCCTCCTCCCCGACTCCTCCCACGACGCCGCCGACGCCGACTACCTCATCGCCCTTCCCAACCCGCACGTCATCGCCGAGCTATCCGCCTACGCGTCCGTCGCCGACGCCGTCCGCCAGGCCCCGCCACCTTCCTCCGCCCCGCAGCACAACGGCCTCATCTGGGAGCTCATCCGGCTCGCCGAAGAAGACCGCGTCGCGGCGGAGCGCAACATAGCCGCGAGGGTCCACGAAATGGGGGAGCGCCTCGCCACCCTCACCCTGGCCGACGCGGTGGAGCTGGTCTGCGTGCTGAGGCAGGTGGAGGAGAGCACGTCGTCGCCGGCGGACTGGAAGTGGGCGGGGCTGGACGAGGCCGTCGTCGGCGAGGCGCGGCGGCTGCGCGAGCGCGCCGAGGAGGTGGTGCTGCGCAGGACAGAGCAGGAGAGGCGGCTCGTGCGGAGGGGCACCGCCGGGAGCATGTCTGTCCGCGTCCTCACCGGCGGCGGCGGCTGCGGCGAGGCCGTCCGATTCGGCTCCACGCGGTGGTCTTCCACACGGCGATAGTTATCATATTTTCTGCTACGAATTTTTTCATCAAAAAATATGGTAACTCTCTATCCTCCTTAAGTTTTGTGCTTCAAATTTCAAAAAAAAAAAAGGGAGAGAGAACATTTGTATGTAATTATTGTGCTTTGTTGTACTGGATGGATATTCTGGAGTACAAGATTTTGGTTGTATTTTGAATGCTTGATCCAACACCGGTTAGAACACTTAGAACTTAGAACTGCTTGTTGATTTTGAAAGGCCGTTTGAAACAACTTGTAAATTACTACTCTTTACGAGATATTTGTACTTTGGATGACTAAATGAAATCAAACGGCCTTTGATTGATGAAGGTGAAAGCTCTACATTAATTCGCTCCACGTCTTCACTCAAGTTTGCAACTAGTTGTCCAACCTACACTAGAAAAGGACACTTGCTGTGGGTTCTTTTCTTTTTCTTATTTTATTTTTCTTCTTTTGAGATGGACACTTTGATGCAAATACTTGAAATACATGGGTCATATTTGCATCATAAACACGTATTTTTCGGCTCAAAAAGGCTCGTGTGCTACAGTTTTTAACTTGAAATAATCCACACTCTGATATGATGATACCGACCTGCAAAACCTAAGAAATTGTTAAACTGGAATCTAGTGGCTTCTACGCGTGGATGTAAGCATTGACATCGTTGCCCAGGCAATTAGTTGATTATGTGCACATCGATCAACGGGTGTTCCGAGCTTGCGCTTTATAGCTTAATAAACGTGGCGTGTTGTTAAACCGCAGGTTGGCGCCACCCTCCATATAAAACATCTGCAAATTAATCACATCGTCAGTTCATCACTGATGCTTTGCTCTGTGTACGTTTTTGCTCCAAACGGCCACACTAACCACCCCAAAAACGACGACCTGTTTCCTACCATAAACTAGTGTTTTTTTGCTTCGGTTGACGGGTTACCAGGTAGTTGCTTCCAATTGGTGGATTTTTCTCTGCGAAACTGATGAATCGTGTGGTTGAATGCTGCGTATGTATTACTACGTGTGTACGCACCGCCGCTGACTCCGACTAGAGAAAGTGATAGGGAGACGAACAAGTGAACAACTGAACAAGGCGTCAAGCAAGTAGAGTAACCAACCAAATTCTAAACTAAAGTTCTACAAATTACAAGCCGCAACTCAAGCAAGCAAGCCCAATTCTCCAACATGGAAAACCTGTTGATACAGTGAACAATCCACAATACTGCTAGTACGAACACATAATATACTTGCTCCTGTTCATTTTGGGTTCCCCCATCTTTGGACGCGTTCACTTGCTTGCAAAACCTGCAAAAATTCAGCAAGTTGGACAAGTTCATATTTGAATGTACTAGAGTTAACAAATAGGCTTGAAATCGACCCACCTCTTTGTTCCAATCACACTGAATGGTCATGTGCGCCAGAATTATAGTCTGGATTGCAGTGCCAGCGATCATTCCAGCCCAAATTCCCTGCACATGAACATAGAAATAAAATGACAAAGTATAATCAAAGAGCAAAAATCCATGTGTACTTTGGAAAGGAGAAAAGTATGGGGATATCAAAATTGGAACCCTACAAAAACTCCAAGGTTGAAACTCCAACCAAGCAGAACACCGATAGGAACTCCGATGAAGTAGTAGCATCCGATGTTTACATAGGCCACTGCCGCTTGCCACCCTGAACCAATAGCAACCCCTGCAAATTGACAGGCGCACACAAATTCAGGTGTGGTTGCACTTGTAAACCTGTGTGCAGGGTGTACCAAAATGTACCTGAAAGAACAGGTTGGACGCCGTTGAGGAGGATGGTGACGGCTAGCAGAAAGGAGATGTTGTCCACGGCGTCGATCACCGCATTGCTCGACGAGAAGACGAGCGCTATCTTGTCATGGAAGGCCAGCGCCAGCGCGCTGAAGAAGAGGCCGATCAGGAAGGAGGTCGTCGTCGACACGATCGTCGCGAACTTTGCTCCCTTCCCGTTGCCCGCGCCAAGCTCGTTAGCCACTCGCACCCTTGAGATTCATAGGTAAACTTTCAGTTCAGACAACCATTCTGTGGGTTGAAACTAGAGTGCAGGGTAGTGACTTATGTTGTTTCAGTTAGTTCAGTTACCCGGTGCCGGCTAAGAATCCCACTGGAATCATCATCTCCCAAGATTGAAAACTCATACTGTTCAAGGAGATGCAGTAACGATGGTTAGGCAAATACGTTTGTAAATAAATTTAGAGGGTCGGATATGATCTGATGGAAACATGAGCAAGGCAGAGAGGGAGGATTTACCAGATAGAAAGAGCATTCACTGCAAGTTCAGAATTCTTCAGGTGTCCTGTGAGCAGGATCAGTATCTTGTAGTACCAAGTCTCCAAACTACAGACCAAATGCAGAGACAACGAGATGAAGTCATGCCATCAAAATTTCGTAGGTCATTTGCAGATTGCAGTTTGTCAAAATAGTTAATCCCAAGCCCCTGTTAATAATGTTTGGCCGCTTAGAAACTAGTTAATTACGGTTCTGTACTTACCATACCATAACTCCAGACGAGACGGACAGCTTGACAAAACCCCACAAATCCACGAACGCCAACGGGGAGAACCCACTCCACGTCACCGGGCACCCGCCGCCGACGACGTAGGCGAGCTGCAGCAGCGTGACGAGCCAGCCGGAGACACCGAGCGACATGGCGGCGCCGAGCACCCCGAACCGGAGGCGGCTGACCAGCAGCCAGCTCACCGCGATGTGCACCGGGAACGCCGCCGCCGCGGTCACCACGGTGACCCAGTTCTTGCGCTGGCTCTGCAGGAACTTGTTGAGCGGCAGGAGGACGGCGTACTGGAAGTGCGACGGGAGCATGTACACGCTGACCATGCCGGCCTTGCGCGCCAGCGCGGCGGGCTGGCCCAGCGCCTCGAGCAGCGGGGCGGTGAAGACGTAGGTCGGGACGAGGAGCACGGCGAAGACGAAGAGGATGATCCAAGAACGTTGTAGGTAGATGCCAAGCATGGAGCACTGCTTTGCGCCGTAGGCCTGGCCGCAGAGTGTTTCCAGTGCACTAGCCATGCCCAGCTGCCATATGAAGTGTTATAAAATCGGCCCCGAAATCACATCGAAACCAAACGCGGAAGAAACGCAATAGCAGATAAAACACGATGACAACACCGAGACCGGTTTTATAACAAGTGGTATTAGAGCCCAAGGTTTGGAACCCGGAACAATCTCCATGGGTCACATGGTGGAGAGGCCAGGTAACAAGTCTTCGGGGTCACATGGGTTGATGTGACGGGGGAGATTGTTGGGCCTGATGTGTGACGGGCAGGGTTTATCTTACCGCCGGGGCCGGGGTTACCGCGCCCCGGCGGTAAGCACGGTTACCGCGCGGTAACCGCGGTAATCTTGAAAAACCGTGCAAAATTTATCAAAAATTCAAATTATTTTTTAAATTTATTTGAATTTAAGGAGGTTACCGCGGTTACCGGTGGTAAGGTAAACCCTGGTGACGGGGGAGATTGTTGGGTCCTGGGCCTACACAACCCAAAAGACTAGTCTGATGGATGAGAACCGCCCCCACCTTTTAAGTTGTGCTTCTCCATCATCAATTACCGATGTGGGACTAAACCTAACATGAAGGTACGGACATTAATGTTTTAGTACTGTATTTTAATTTGTCTTTGATCAACTATATAGTCAAAAGTTAACAGCATCATCTATTAAAAAAAGAACGTAAGGTACCGGGACATTTTCTAACGCAGTATAAAGTTTTGATATCTCCGATACCTCCAGCCCTAAGTTTGCACAAGGTAACACATAATAGTACTCCCTCTATTTCAAAATATAACAACTTAAAATCTTCAAAAAGTATCACAAAATATATCAACCTTTTCACCTCCATTCCAATCATAGCCTTTCGCCATTCAAATTTGGTTTTCTTAACCAATCACAACATATCCTTATTTAATTTTATCAAGTTCTTAATACCAATGTTCAACCTATGACGGTGTTAGTAACATTTAAAATTATGATGGTATTTCCCCGTACTGTTCAAGAACTATAAATCAATCTAAATATAATCATCTTCGTCTAAACTCTAAAGTACAATATTATCTTCTACTCCTTCCGGATTGATAATCCTTATCATTTTGGATAAGAACACAATCTCTAAAGAATCAACTTTGACCACTAATTTTTTATTTCAATATATTAGATATCAATAAATATGTTATTTTGTTGAAGTACCTTTTAATAAAAATCTATGCATATGGTCTTCATGTTTTTAAAACACTTATGTTATAAATTATACATAGTTAAAGATTTGTGAAGTATTTATGGAGTGCACCCTCATGGTAGGATTTGATTTTTTACATTTTGGCTTATTCTGAAAACTTATTTTATAAATAGATCTCTTGACAAACTTATTTCATCTGCTGATGTCCAACATCTCAGAGCCCACAACACTTGTGCTGACACCCTTGACCCCCTAGCAGCCTATATGTAGAAGGGTCGGTGCCAAGACCCATTTATAGAATAATTTTTATGGAAAGGGTAAGAATGCAGATAGGCCCTCGATGCAAAAGAGGCTAGAGCCAAGGGCCTATTCGTAAAAAAAATCCTTACATTTCGACTATTTTCAAAAAGAAATAATTTACAATAGGTCCTCGACGACAACCCCTCCAAGTCAGCAACTTAGCCACCACGCGGGACGAGGTTATCGGTACCAAGACATTAAAACCCTGGTGCCGAGAAAAATAGTCCATTTTTTAAATAAGTTTTTTCAGAGATTTATTTATAAAATAAGTTTTAAAAAGACTAAAATCTAAAAAAGCCAGCATGGAAAAATAGTTTTCAAAATATCAGGGGTACAAGTTCCAATAAATAGTAGTTTCTAAAAGACAACTAGAAAATAGTAGTGGAGACATGAATCTATTATATACTAAAAGTCCATGAGACTTCTTACAAACGCTCTCAAGCCATCAAGTGGCGCTCTAATAAAATAGAGAAAATCCTAGAAATTCTAAGAAAAAAGAAAAATATATGCCCCTTAATTTTTACTTAAATTGATGGGTCCAATATTATACACCGTTAGATAAAATCGATCTTAAAACAAACTAAATACCATGGGTCCCACCTATCCTCCTCCCATCTTAATATAAACTATATCTATATTAACTAATTTATACGTGCACTTAAACTGATGGCCCCATTATATAAATCATCGGATTTACTTTATGTTACGTTGGTATATTATTCTCAAGTAATGCACTGTTTTAAAATAAGGTCTACACCATTATATTGTGTACCCATTAAATTAACAATTTAAAATCTATATTAACTAATGTACACTTACACTAGAACTGGTGGACTTATTATTATAATCATCGGATCTATTGTTTGCTAATAAATAAAGCGCCCGGAATTCTCTTTTTGCCCGCTGCACAATGCACGTCTGCACCTTTTGCCTTTCGCATGTGTGACAAGGTGTAGTATCTGAGACATATAAGGTGATCACAACCGTTGTAGAGCTACCACTTTGCCACACATCAAATCATATATGGAGATGATTAATTTTGTTAATAACATGAAAAGAAAATTAAAGGTATGATGCAGCGAGAGAATAATTAAGCACCATGGGTTGTGTTTTTCTCAACACTAATTAGCTCTGTTTAAGTTGAAACCGAGAGTTGATTAGATAATAATTATAATGTATTTATGTTATGTCGTATTTGGATTTTGTACTATTTGTTCGTAAAGGCGAAAGGAATCATTATGTTATAAATGTGAGCGTAATATTGACGAATATTAATAGAACTCTTACTACGATAAGGGTGATAAAGGGAGTTTAAGGCCCTTTCTTTTTTTTCCCGATTCCATATTTTGGATTTTTGTTTGCACGCTTTTAAAGTTTTTAAATAGTGTCTTCTTTAAACAATATTCTAACTTTTTAGAAGTCAATTCATTTGTTTATACCCTTAAATAGCTATCACATAAATTATATAATTCATTAATTTCAGCTATCCTAAACCTTAAGTACTACATATTTTTTTCATGCGAGTCATGGTGATAAATCATTAAAGTCGTAAAATGAATATGTAAGAGCTACTCTGAACAATTGTAAATAGGTGTCAAAATTAATTTCTATTAATTAGACATCTAATGGCTTGCAAGCCACAAAATTAATTTCACTCTACATGTATATAAAGATGGACGAAGCTGGAACAAATATTACCATACGTCCCATACATATATATTGCGCAGTTAATATTCTAATTACATGTGTTAAGTCATTTAAAATTCATTAAAATGCTCTCAAGATGCGACGTGGTGCTCTAATAAATTAGGGCAAATATTAGAAATTCTAAGAAAAAAAAATCAAAGTATCTATTTCTTGATTTTCACTTAAATCGTTAGGTCCAATATTATAAACCATTAGATTAAATTGATCTTAGAACAAACTAAATACTACGAGGTCCCACCTCTCCTCCCGCGGCATAGGTACGCACCTACGTGCATGGGTACGTACGCTTCCCCTCCCTTTTTTTTCATTTTTTCTCCTTCTTTTTTTCCCATGCATATGCTTCCCTCCCTTTATTCCTATATCATACTCCTTCATGAGACGATTTAATCAAAAGAATTTTGAGTATCTTGCACTTACATTTTTCATTTGCGGCCATACTACACGGTATGTATATAGATGGACTATATGATAATTAACTAGCAATAGTTTCTTATTTACTCGAGAAAAAAGAAACATGATTCAAAAATCGTAAGTACTTAAACCATCTCCTACTCAAAAGTTTGTGAATGGTTTTTTAAGATATCTTAAGAAAAATAGATCCTTTAAATTATTATAAAATAGCATCATCCAAACTTTACTTTGCCCTTAATCTATGAACAAACAATAATCTTATCTTTTAATAATATAAGTGTCCGCGCATACGCGCGGGCCACCTTCCTAGTTTGGTTTTAACGCGTGTATTGAGAACATCATTAACAAATGCCCAATATGCTTTCCAATCCTTAATTTTCATGTTTCTATAAAAGTTAGTCTGCGATAATTTCCCTTGTTAGGTGCTCAAAAATGGTGCTAAAAAATTGGAATCCCCTTCCCTGTCCTTCTGATCACTCTCTCCTAGTAAGAAAGCACGCCGACTTCTAATATAGCTGATGTGGTGCTAACCGAGTGATGCGTGGGGGTTGGATCGCGTCCTGGAGGAGGTGGAGAGCTATTTTTGTTACTTCTATTGGCATGGTGAATGTACTTTTTTATTATTGAGTCAATTTTTAAGATATATGTTAGAGGAGAGAATCTATTCATATAAAATCTGATTAGGAATCAGAATTAATTAGGGGATACATTTTTAGGCATCTGTTGGTGGTTGGTGATGCTATTAGTCATGGCGTCTTGCTTTTCCTGGAGTGTGCAGCTAGTGTAAATTGCACGCTACAAATGCTACATGAAGCGCACAAATTCGCAACAGCTCACATGTTGTACGAACCGAATAGTTTTGTTTGAAGTTTTGAACCAACCACAAAATCAGATCAGTTTTTTTTTTTTGGAGAAAAAACCAGATCAGTTAAGTTGACTCGACGGATTTATTTAACTTCAATTGGCTTCTTTTATTTGGCCATGTTTGTATAGAACTAGTGGCAATTGTTTGCAGCAAGACCTGATCACCGTGCCCATTTTTCTAAGGGGTAACAGTCACGCATTCAGTTTTCTTCTGTTTTACTTGTACCTTGTATAAGTATGATATACACCATGAGTCCTTCCACGAGAGCATTCTTTTGTTCGTGTTTTTGCAAATATCGTAGGACGGGATCAACTGGCAGAAGCACATTCTTGATCTTGAATATTGCAAAATAAATGCGTCACGCCGTGGTATATGAATGTGCCTCAATTAATTAACAAACACAAGTATGCATGTTGTCAATTAGAAAATGGCTTGTATGTTTCAAAATATAGTGTATGATTATTAATTTCATCACCAATTACCGAGACAGTTTCACCCATGTATACAAACATATGTAAGTGTAATCTAAATGGTAAATGCTCCCAAAATTTGCAAGTTAAAGTTCAGAGGGGCATACATATATACACTCGCAAAGATCGAGCAACAGTGATTGTCCGGAGTGCAAGAATATACTAATAAACAGAATATAGTCGTAATGCAGCAAGATATATGATTAGCTTAGGGAGTTAATTAATTTCCACTTACCAGGAAGCCAAAGTTGAGGCCGGTGATGACGTTGTTGGCGATGGAGAAGGCGGCGAGCTCGAGGTCGCCGATGTGGCCGGCGAAGGCCTGGCTGATGATGTTGAAGCTGTACAGCACCAGCCGCAGGAACACGGCCGGGCCGACGATCTCCCACAGCTTCTTGGACTCCTCCCACGCCTCCCTCGCCAACGCCGGCAGCCGCCGCCGGACGCGCCCCTCCTCCTTCTCTTTCCCGGCCGGCCACTCCGCGAGGAGCGGGACGCTCGCCATGACCACTACAGCTAGCTTGACCTCTCGCAGCACGCAGCTCACAGGGAGCAATTGGCAGCTAGCTGGTCAGCGCGCAGCAGCTAGCCACGGCGGGAAGAAGGGAAACTGCCCGTCTACCAGGCTATGTAGTGTGCCATTCATTCGCGCGCACAACACGTGCTTGGATTTTTTAACAAGGTCGAAAAGACTGTCATGCCCTCCAGGCCCTTTACACTGAAAACGTACGTGTAACATGTTCCAGGCTTCTAGCTCAGTGGGCTTTACTAAGCCGACAATATGGGGAATAAGTCCATTTTGACTCCCTTAACTGGTGACAAATCTGATTGGTATCGCTGTACTTATCTCGACCACCCAACTATTAAAACCGATAACTCTCTGGGTGATTTTAGAGAGTGATTTCGCTGACATGGCGTTTTGACTTAATCCAATATGCTAAATCATCATGTGGAACCCACCCGTTAGTGGCCTTATGTTTCCTCTCCCTTCCCTTTCCCCTGCATCGGATCAGCGCTGCCCCCTCATCCCCCTTCCGCTCCATGTCATGCTGCCGTCTGGGAGGAGGAAGCGCGAACGACAAGTGGCGGTCAAACTGTAGCGGCGGCGGATGAGGTGCAGCGGACTGACGACGACGGCTACCGATGAGCTCAGCGGCGTATTTAGAATTTATGGTATGTGTGGTCCAACTTATAAAAAATTTTAAACATCGCGGATATAATAATTTAAATATATACAATATAAATATAGGTAATAGAACCACTTCTTCCGCATCTTATTTAGAGTATACTCTTCTGTCATAACTAGGAAAGGAAGTAGAGTAATTCAGAAGCATTTTTTTACATGTTTCTGAAAATGAGATGAAATATCTACATCTTTCGTTATGTTTTAAGAATCTACAATACAATAGTATAATTTTAGATGTATGAGTTGAGTCAAAACTGAAAATTGAATGCCTAATATGGTTCTAATCTGCTAATCAGTAGGAGTAATTAATTATCACCTGCCCTAGTGCTCTTTGTTGGTTCCTTCCCTTGCAGCTCGCGCAGATCCCAGTTGGCCAACGCCCTAGATGCAGGCGCTGATCGCTGCACGTCGCCGTCGGCCGCCGCAGCCACACTAGCACTCCGGCGCCCTTGCTTCCTTGCGCTTGTTGTTGGCCCATCGTCACTTGATCCCCAGGAAGTAGGGAAGAGAAGGAGCAGCCAGCAACAAACCGCCGTGCTATGCACGCGTGATGGCGACGCTGCTACAACCGGTCAATCGCGCGAGGAGAAGGAGATGGAGTCGCGGTAGCGGAGAGGGAGCGGAAACGGCGTCGCTTCGTTTGGAAGCTTCAGCCTCACGGGATTTTTTTTCTTTTTCTTTTTTACCAAAAAAAAATCGTGTTGGGTCGCTAATTTTTTTGGGTGGTCTGGGGACCACCCGGACCACCATTAGATCCGCCGTTGGATGAGCTCGAGTGAGGGGACGGCGGTCTGCGTCTTTGGCAGGCTAGGAGCAGAGTGCCAACGTGGCCCGAGACGAAGCAGTGGCGGCGCGGCCTCGACGGCGACATCAAGCTCCTTCAGCCATAAGACACGACGCCGAACTCTCCCTTAATCAATTAGCCTGCGCAACACGACAACAATGGAAATGTAGCAGATCCGGAGGTCAGAGACAGTGCCAAGGTCAAGCTCCACCCGTATCAAATTGCGTTGCCGACTTCACTTTTCATTCCCCCGGCCTCAGCTGTCTCCTCCGATCTTGACGGAGCTCCGCGCCTCCACCAAGATCTGTCGTGGAGTTCGAGTTCCTCCTCACATTAGGCGCGCTACCGAGTTCTAGAAGGGCGTTAGTACAAACTTTTCCACATACTTTATATATATACGTACAAACTTATATACAAAGTTTGTACGTATGTATATAAATACTAGCAAAATACCCGTGCTTCGCTAGGGTAAAGAAACGATTAAATTCTATAAAATACACGGTTAACATGTACTCCCTCTATTTTTTTAATAGATGACGCCGTTGACTTCTTCCCACATGTTTAACCATTCATGTTGTTATTCAAAAAATATACATAATTATAATTTATTTTGTTATGAGTTGTTTTATCACTCATAGTGCTTTAAGTGTGATTTATATCTTATACATTTATATAAATTTTTTGAATTAGACGAATGGTTAAACATGTGAGAAAAAGTCAACGGCGTTATCTATTAAAAAACAGAGGGAGTATATAATAATATTCCAAGATAGATAAATTATTCATTGCGCTAATGATAATCAAGATGGATATAAAAATTCTTGCTTAGCTCGTATCGCTCAGCCTCAGGACGACATGAGCGTCCACCGTGCACCGCCCACCCAAAATTATATATGATTAGTTCTAATCAACCAAAATTATAGTGTTGCTGAATGATTAATTCTATATGCACATGAAACCCGTGGATGAACATAAATAAGTAATTTATGTTGTCTCAATTAATTACATAGTTATAAACAGAAATAATTCCTGAATTACATCATTGTTGAGCGTAAATAATTAGAAACATGAACATAAATGAAATGTATACAAATTTATAATCAATGTTGGGTGGAAAATAAATTTATGAGAAACATCTAGCCAAATTTATTGTTGGCTCAATTTATCTAGAATTAAATTAATAAGCAGTCATAAACAATTAAAATAGTACTAATACTATTTCTATAAATAGAAAAATAATTAAAATTAGAAAGAGAGAGAAATCAATGATTTTAGCCTGCCCCAAACGTGCGGCCCATTAGGCGGCCCAATCTGCAATGGCCCAATGCCGGAGAAGCCGGGGCCGTCCGATCTAATGGATGGTCCCGATGGATCCCCGACCTATATAAATACCGGATAGCAAAAACCTAACCCTAATCAATCCATTTCCACCGAAACCGATCCCCTTTCTCTCTCTCCCTCTCTCAAATTCCAGTGGGCGGCGGCGGCGCCCTCCCCGAGCGTCTGCGGTGGCGGCCTTCCCCAGCGCGGACAGCAGCGGTGACCCTTCGCCCCATCCTCTCGCTCTTCTCTCCCTCGGATCCGCACCGGCGGCGGCTCCCTCCACCCCGTATCGCCTCCCTCGCCCCCTCCTCTCCCTCTCGCCTCGTGGTAGCCGGCGGTGGCGGCAAGCGGCAGCCGCGGGTAGCCGGCGGTGGCGGCAGCCGCGGGCGGATGCGGCGGTGGCGGCGGCCGCGGGCGGATGCGGCGGAGGCGGCTCCCTCCGCCCTCTCTCGCCTCCCTCCCGCGGGTGGATCTGCCGGGCGGCGGCCGCAGGCGGATGCGGCGGCGGCGGCTCCCTCTGCCCCCTCTCGCCTCCCTCCCGTGGGTGGATCCGCCGGGCGGCGGCGGTGGCGGCAGCCACGGGCAGATCCGGCGGCGGCAGCTCCTTCCGCCCCTTCTCGCCTCCCTCCCGCGGGTGGATCTGCCGGGCGGCGGCGGCCACGGGCAGATTCGGCGGCGGCGTCATCTGCTGAGGGTGGATCCGGCAACGGCGGCTTCCTCCGCCGCCTCTCTTCTCCCTCCGGCGCGGTGGTCGCGGGTGGATCCGACGGTGGTGGCGTCTACTGAGGGTGGATCTGGCAACGGCGGCTTCCTCCGCCGCCTCTCTTCTCCGTCCGGCGCGATGGTGGTGCCCGATGGTGGATCCGGCGGCAGGGGAGTGAACTTCTGTGATGTATGTTATTCTTGTTGTTATTCTTGGATGTGATGTATGTTGTTGTTGTTCTTGGATGATTTCGTTATGTTGTTGTTTTTGGATGTGGTGTATGTTGTTGTTCTTGGATGTTTGTGGTTGATGTGGTTGATTTTTTTGGGGCGACGGACGAAATCGGACCGAAAAAAGATCACGCGGATGGACCAATCGGATTGTGACGACCGGAAAAATACGAATATTTATATTAGTTATAGATATGTATATATTTTAATTATGTACACATTTTTTCTGTATAAAAAATATATACACGTATAAAAAGTTTATAGACGTATGCAAACTTGGTATATGTACGAATACAAAATTTATATACGTACATATAAAAAAATTGAAAAAAAACCAAAAAAACATCACATATACAAACTAGTTTGTATTAAAAAATCGAAAAAAAAAAGAAAAAACCATATATACAAAGTTTGTATACGTATATATATTAAAAACCAAAAGGAAAAAAAAACTGAACTGAACAGAAAGGAAAAAAACAAAAAAAAAATGAAACAGGATCGCACCCTCCGCCACGCTTTGTCGTCCCACGCGCTGGTCCGCCGCCCCCTCCTGCACGCGCGCCATGTGTCCATCTGGCTAGCACTGAGCTCTTCGTCCATCTCGCCGCGAGTGCAGGCGGCAGCGTCGAGCTCAGCGTGGCAGCTACGGGTGCAACGAGGAAGAGGTCGGTGAGGCACGCGGTCACCTCTATCCTCCACTGAGGCCATCCTCTACTCACCACCGGGACAGGAGCGCCGCCAGCTAGGACGATGCCGACAATGCCAGTGCCGGATGCTCAAACCTGAGTTTGAAGCCGCCGGTCGGGTGCGAGGATACCATGGCGGATGGCGCCTAGCACCGTGCCAAAGCCACCTGTCGCCCTCCCCCGCTCTAGCTCGTCGTCGTCGCCGTCGTCCCGGCCATAGAGTGAGAGACAACATAGAGGTCCCAGGCACGGCCAAGCACGGCCCACCTGCCATCGGGCCGGCACGGCCCGATCGGCACTTCGTGCCGGGCCGTGCCGGCCCATGGGCTGCGCCTCCCGCCCAGGCACGGCCCACCAGCTGTCGGGCCGTGCCGGGCCGGCCCGAAGGCGCGGGTGGTCCATCGTGCCTTTTCTAAATAAGTCTAGTTTTCGTCCCTCCTCTTTGGGCTGAGACATAATATAGCGAAAATAAGTCTATTTTTCGTCCCTCCACTTTGGGCTGTGACATATATATGGTAAAAATAAGTCTATTTTTCGTCACTCCTCTTTGGGCTGACATATATATAGGTAAAATAAGTCTATTTTACATTCCTATTCTTTCGACCGTGGCATATAATGTCTATTGTTACTCCCTATTGTTTATGTGTCGGACCTGGCATGCGGCCTATCGTGCCGTGCCGGCCCAACGTGCCAGCGGAGAGGCCCAAGCACGGCCCGGTGGTCGGGCCGGGCCAGCACGGGCCCGACTCTTAACGGGCCGTGCTATGCTTGGGCCGGGCCAAAACGCCGTGCCGTGGGCCGGGCCGTCGGGCCTCGGGCCTTTTGGCCATCTATACATAGAGGTGGAGAGAGAGAGGAGAAATGGGGAGTAAAGAGGAAACGGTCAATGATCTTTGGGTCCCACATGTTATTTTTATTATTTTTGTTATTGTAATGCAACGTCAGACTCGGACGCTAAGTCAATTTGGCACGTCGATGCCACGTCAGTGAAAACCACATTAAAAACCACTGAGGGAGTTATTTTGTACCGATTTTAAAAGTTGAGGGATTAAAATATCTGATATTTCTGTTAAGTGGTACGAATTTGATTGCACTTGTAATGAACTTATTCCGACAGTATGGGCTGTTCGGGCAAGTTGGGCCCTGGTGTTAGCCTTGTGAGGCCCATGATGTGCTGATGGCCATCACACCGCCGTTGCTAAGCAGGTGACAGTCCGACTAACAGCCGTCACGACACTTACTGTTTTGCACCATGTGCTACACACTTCATCGGCAATGCAATTATACAGTACACCACTAGCTTACCCAGATGGAGCCCTCAAAATAATGGTATCACGATCCATCGCAATAGCGACACGCGCGCGCGCACAACCATCTGTAGATCGATCGACTGTATATATCCCGTAGCCGGCGTCGTCACCCTCGTTGTAGTGTATCCAAAGCTCGCGCCGTGGAAGCTAGCTACCCACTTCAGCTACCCTCCAAATCTGGTCTCCTAGGCTGTGAATCTGTGATCCGCACCGCACGCAACACGCGTGCGTGGGCATGGACGTGGAGGCGACCAAGGACGTGGGCCACGAGCAGGCGGCGGTGCCGGGGCGTGGCAGGGCGGCGCGATGGCTCCTTGTGGCGCTCAACTGTGGGATGCTGGTGGTGGGCACCACGGGCGGGCCGCTCATCAGCCGCCTCTACTTCAGCAAGGGCGGCCATAGGCAGTGGCTCTCGGCGTGGCTCCAGACCGCCGGGTGGCCGCTGCTGCTGGTGCCCGTGGCGGCGTCCTACCTCAGCCGCCGCGCGCGAGACCGCCGCGCGCCGCTGTTTCTCACGCCGACGCGCGTGCTGCTGGCGGGCGTCGGGCTCGGGTTCCTCAATGGCGCCGACGACTTTATATACGCCTACGGCCTCGCCTACCTGCCGGTGTCCACCTCCGCCATCCTCATCTCCACGCAGCTCGCGTTCACCGTCTTCTTCGCGTGCCTCATCGTGCGGCAGCGGTTCACCGCGGCGACGCTGAACGCCGTGGCGCTGCTCACTATCGGCGCCGTCGTGCTGGGCCTGCACGCGTCCAAGGACCGCCCCGCCGGGGTTACCAGTGGGAAGTACTGGATGGGCTTCTTCCTCACCCTCGGCGCCGCCGCGCTGTACGGGCTCATCCTGCCGCTCGTCGAGCTCGCGTACAAGCACGCCGCGGGAGGCGGCCGCGCCGTCACGTACGCGCTGGTGATGGAGATGCAGCTGGTCATGGGCTTCTTCGCCACCGCGTTCTGCACCGTCGGCATGGTCGTCAACAAGGACTTCCAGGTTTTTAAGTTCCATCCGCTTCATATTAGTCCTTAAACTTCTTTAGATTTTATTAAGTTTATAAAAAAATTAGCAATATCGAGTACAACACAAATTATTTTCATTAAATTTATCATTGAATATATTTGAATTATTTTTGTTTTGCGTTGAAAATAATATTATATATTTTTTTATAAACTTGATCAGAAAAAACTTAAAACAACTTATAATATAAAACGGAGGATATAACTCATTAACTCTTGCATCTCTTGCTTAGATCCAGGTTCCAATAAATTGAGAACAAGGACTTTGTAAATTCAAACCTTAATGCAACTTATATAGAAACCCCACAATATCAGTTTTAATCCAACTTAATACTACAACAAGGTTAGTTTTAAATTACTTTATTTACTAAGTTAAAAATGTCTTAATCATTAATTATAGAAACTCGTTTAGTTTAACAACATGTGAATAATATTGAATTCGTTCAAATTATCATTTAATACCGCACAGAAACAAAACAAAAAAGTCACATGAAAGGAATACCAAATATGCTCATCATATCATTTCTGAATAACATTGAAACAAAATTATATGATGATTATTTGTGAACAGGGTTTATTTTTTGGTTTGGCCAATTATATCAAAGGCCACTAATATACCGAAATTTTGGACCGAAATTTCAGAAATTTTGAACTAATTTTTTTCAAATTTGAACAAAATATTACCAAATTTAAAAAAATAAAAATTTCAGCCGAAATAATATCATATCGGGGGAGGGGAGGTTTCGGATATTCCGGAATTTCTAACCCTGTTTAATCACTAATGCACGATCGTTAATTTGATGGTTTGTATTATCATGAACGTATCGTGTTGAGGGTACGTGGTAAATAAATCATGCAATTATCATGAAAATAGCATACCCGTCTCGGACTCTTAATTTTGTGTTTTATTAATTTAATTTAAAAACCAAAATTTGTAATTAATAAATTATAATTGATGTGAGACTCTTCTTTTAATATAAGCAGTTAGTGACCACGTGTTTAGCGTAATACTCCTAGAATTTTAATATTCAATAATGAAATTTGCTCCTGTCCAGTAAAAAATACCTCGAGGTACTGGTATCTTACGGTACCAAATCGTTTCCGACCATTGGATCTAGCTAAATAGGATGGACATTGTTAGATCTAACGACCGGAAACGATTTGATACCGTGAGGTACCGATACCTCGAGGAATTTTTTATTGGACCGGAACAAATATCTTTAATAATAGCTACAAAATGGATATTAAATAGGTAGTACATGACTATGGTGTCCAGAACGCATCTGCTTTCTTTCATTCCTCTCCTTCCATATTAGCCATGACGCTAAGATGACTCCCGAATCAAACGTGACATGCCAGTAAAAATTAATTCCAACTTCTGAACACAACCTATGAAATAAAGCTTAACAAAGTTGATAGTGCTCGCACGATAAAATTAGGCAAAATTTATTACATGACGCTAAAAGTTTATGACATTTGTTGTGAGACAAAAAAAACATGTATCTTCTCATGAACAACGCAAAAATATGGCAATTAGCTGCTAGACACCTAAGGTATTATTTTATTATTTCCGATGAAAATAGAGATAAAATGTTGAAAGTACCAAAATACCCCTGGACACTGTTTCAGCTCTCTTTTCTCTTCTCTTCTCTTTCTTCTCTTCTCTTTTCTTCTCTTCTCTTCTTCAGCGAGTGAGTGCGGCAGAGGGGTAGACGTCGGGCGGGACGGCGACCGGCGAAGCGACTGGCGGGAGAAGTAGGCAGGGAGCGAAGCGGCGGCAAGAGATGATGGTTCTTGACCGGTGGTGGTTCTCCTCACCGTCCGCGGGCCGTAGCTCTGCCTCTGCAACTAGGCCCCTGGCCTCGTTGGCAATCGCTCGGCGCCGGTGCGGCCTCATGTTGTCTCCTCTCCGTGCACGTGGACGTGACCGCCGCCATGGCCATGGCCATGTGGCCAGGTTTGTAGCCTGTGCTTTGGGGGCAGGCGGTGAGGAGGCTAGGGAGCCATCGGAGGACAAGGTGCAGATGGAGTGGGAAAGCGATGGCGCGGCAGCTCAAGGAGGCCGAGGAGATGGAGGTGCTTGAGCGCATGGCCAAGGAGTTGCAAAGCCAGGTTGCCGCTGAGGCCCCCGATGAATCCAAGGAGGAGAAGCGCGAGCGCGTCCACCATGAACTCCAAAAGCTTTGTCGGCCTACGTCCGCCATTGCAGCGTCGATCAAGGAGAAAGTTTAACCAAGAGCAAACAAGTCTTTCATGAGTGTTCCTCTCTCCGATTCCTCCGGAAATAATAAAATAAGGTTGTGAGTGTCCGACAGTTAATTACCTATTTTTTTTGCCCGACAACAAATTCGTGTTCTTGCGCTATCTATCAGCTAAATACACGTTTTTTGGATGTCCTAGAGTAAATTTTGGCATAAAATTATATACTAGACTGTCTGGAGAGTGCACGGATTGTACCTCTCCCTGATCATGCACGACAACGCCAGAGGTGAATATGCGCCTGTAATTTGGTCAATGATGGCAACAATACAAACCACAGATTATCTGACAAAACACAGAGTAGCTACCCATCGATCAATCCTGAAATGGCCTTTGATGATGCTGCCTCATTCAACATGACAGCAATTGCCAACACACTGACAATTGAAAGGGATAAGGCAAATCATGAAGCTCGTGCCAGTATATCAAGTAGTCAAAACTTGCTTAATTTGTGGCCAAAGATTTCTTAGCCACATAAATCATGACATATACCACAGCTTAGATATCAAAATTTGACAAAGTGAAACAAACAATCTAGTCATGCCATGCGTTTATGTTCCTCAGTTAATACTGTGTTGCAAGCCTGAGAAGGACCCGCGCGTGCCCGTCCATTGTGATCCGATGGAATCAATTATTGGAGTAGATATTGCCTCAACCAGTGACACAACGACGATGGCCATTGTTTAAAAGATCATCTATTGCTTTCAATCCGGCCATTAATCGTTTAACTTTGATGGTCATGTCCAAGTATTTAGGGGTGGGGTTCCCTGTTGTTTTTGTCGTGGCTAGCTGGGTGTGTCAGAGAAGTCTGGACTTTGTTTTTTTCTCCTCTGGTTCGCTGGCGTCCCTAACCGTAAACTCTGTCTCTGTGGCTTTCGATTAAAAGACGGGTCACTGATCTTTAGTCTAAGAAAGTGTTTAGGGGTGGGCGCTGGATAAGACCGAAAAATTTGATCTCGGACTTCGATCTTTTAGAAATTTCGGTCATCTAAAATTAGAAACCGATTGATCTTGAAAAATAATGAAGGCAGAAAAATTCGGTTTCTTTTTCTCGAACGTGCAAAAAGATTGCAAGTCAATATATTAGAAGAAAAGAATATTTGTTACACAACGCATTAAGCCAGACCGACTTATGCCAAAAGATGAGGGAAACAAAAGACCAAGGAAAAAAGACTCAGATACTACGACTCTAAACAGCGGGAAGGGGGCAGAGCCCACTACTCTCCCAATAAAACCCCAAAATTAGCAATGTCAGCTAACGACCAAAGATGGCCCTCTGAGAGGATGAACTGTAGGACCTCCGAGACCAAAGATAACGCAGAGTCGAAAACCCTGGAGTTCCGTTCCTCCCACAGTTGCTAGGAGACTAGGACGATCAGAGATTCGAAGCCGGGACGGAGATGCTCAGGCAAGCATGCCCTAGACGAAGGCCACCAATCCTGGAGGCAGCTACCACGGGAGGGAGAGAGGGTAGCCCAACCAAGAGGCGACAACACACGGAGCCAGACCTGCCAAGCAAACACGCGATCGAGGAGGATGTGGTTCACCGTCTCAAGCTCTTGAGCGCAACAAAGGTAGACCGAGTGACTATCAATGCCACGCTTCTAGAGGAGATCGGCCGTCCAGCAGTGTCGCTGAAATGCAAACCAGAGGAAGAACTTACATTTAGCAGGACCTTTCGTGTGCCAGAGAAGATCAGCACAAGCAAAGAAGTGCTGGCCATAAAAGCACATCTAGTACCCCGAAGGCGCTGAGTAACACTGGTCACGATCATGACCGAAATTTTAGGTCTAAATTAAAATAATCAAGCCAAGTCTCTAATAAGACCTAGATAAAAAAATATACACATAAAAATCACAAATCGACTCTCTTCACTATTATGGTCACAAATCAAAACATGTTGAAGGCTTAAATTGGGTCCAAATTCGATTTAATTAGATTGTTAAACCTTAATTGATCTATAGGACCAAAATTCAATTTATTCGATATGTTAAGTTAACCAAATATGCTAACCAAACTAACCGAACAAAATTTGGTCATTCAACACTTGAGATTGAACTAGTGACCGAATTTCGCGGTCTCGGTGCCGGTCTTTTTCTGCCCACCTAAGTGTCGCACGGCCACTTAACTTCTTCCTCTCGTGTGAATGGTAATATCAGATGGATGCTCAGTTGGTCTAACAATCAGCTTGTTTCGTGAAATCATGTCACATCATGCAAGCTTTTGTAATCCGATCTGATCAAGCTTAAAAGAATTAATTTGGAAAAAAGTGAGAGAATCTTATAATACAAAACGAATAAAACGAAGTGAGTACATCACTAGCTTTCGATGCTCTAAACAATGAACCTTTTATCACCATCCATCGTAATCGCGACGCGTGCGAGCGTGCGCACCATATGTAGATCGATTGTATATATCCGTAGCTAGCGTCATCACCGTCGTTGTATCCAAATTAAGCTCGCGCCGTGGAAGCTAGCTACCCACTTGAGGCCACTTCTGTCTTCTGCTACCCTCCAAAGCTGGAGTCCTAGCTAGGCAGACGGCAGCAAGCCTGCCCCGCGCTCGAGCTGTGATCCGCACGCAACACGCGCGCGGCATAGGTACCGCGGCTAGCTTGCACGCGTGGACATGGACGTGGAGGCGACCTGCAAGGACGTGGTCCACGAGCAGGCGGCGCCGGGGCGTGGCAGGGCGGCGCGGTGGCTCCTCGTGGCGCTCAACTGCGGGATGCTGATGGTCGGCACCACGGGCGGGCCGCTCATTAGCCGGCTCTACTTCAGCAAGGGCGGCCACAGGCAGTGGCTCTCGGCGTGGCTCGAGACCGCCGGGTGGCCGCTGCTGCTGGTGCCCGTGTCGGCGTCCTACCTCGGCCGCCGCGCGCGCGACCGCGGCGCGCCGCTGTTCCTCACGCCGCGGCGCGTGCTGCTGGCGTGCGTGGGGCTCGGCGTCCTCACCGGCGCCGACGACTTTATATACGCCTACGGCTTGGACTACCTGCCGGTGTCCACATCCGCCATCCTCACCTCCACGCACCTCGCGTTCACCGTCTTCTTCGCGTGCCTCATCGTGCGGCAGCGGCTCACCGCGGCGACGCTGAACGCCGTGGCGCTGCTCACGATCGGCGCCGTCGTGCTGGGCCTGCACGTGTCCAAGGACCGCCCCGCTGGGGTGACCAATGGGAAGTACTGGATGGGCTTCTTCCTTATCATCGGCGCCGCCGCGCTGTACGGGCTCATCCTGCCGCTCGTTGAGCTCGCCTACAAGCACGTCGCGGCCCGCGGCCGCGCCGTCACGTACGCGCTGGTGATGGAGATGCAGCTGGTCATGGGCTTCTTCGCCACCGCGTTCTGCACCGTCGGCATGGTCGTCAACAAGGACTTCCAGGTGATTAATAATGCTCCCTCTCTTTCATATTAGTATTAGTGAAACTTCTTTAGATTTGATTGATATTAAAAAAAACAACATCTTCGACATTAAATTATTTTCGTTAAATTAAACATTGGATAATATATTTTAACGATTTGTTTGTTTTGTTAAAAGTATTATTATATTTTTCTATATAATATAAAATGGAGAGAGTAACTCATTAACTCCTGCATCTCTTGCTTAGATCCAAGTTCCAACAAATTGAGAACAAGGACGTTTGTAAATGCAAAACCTTAATGCAACTTATATAGAAACTCCACAAGATCTGTTTTAATCCAACTTAACAAATTGAGCTTCAAAAAGGTCAGTTTTAAATTATTCTTTTACTAAGTTAAACATGTCTAATTTAATCATTAATTATATAAACTCGTGTAGTTTAACAACATGTGTTTAATATTAAATTCGTGAAAATTATACTTAAAAAACAAAAAGTCACATGGAAGGAATACCAAATATGCTCATCATTTCTGAATAACTTAAAAAAATATTATTATTATTTGTAAATGGAAGGAGTACTTCTTAATAGCTCCTCTGTATGTTGATCACTAATGCATGATCGTTAATCTGATGGATCGTATTATCATGAACGTAGATCGTGTTGAGAGTCCGTGTTAAATAAATTATGCAATTGAAAATAGTGTACCCGTCTCGAATCTTAATTTTACTATGTTTTATTAATTTAACTCAAAAACCAAACTTAGTAATTAATAAATTATAATTGATGTGGACTCTTCTTTTAATACAAGAAGCTAGTGACCACATGTTTCACGTAATACTCCTAGGATTTTAATGGAGACATAGGGTAGCAATCGACAAACCCGAAACTCCCCAAAATGACAACTCAGTTGATTTATTGCTAAAAATTCATATAGATTCTAACCAATTAATATAAGATTCTTGCATTTATCTATTTGTCATGTAGGAATAACAATGTTTCTCTTGTCCCCACCGCTAGCTCATAGCTCAAATAATTAAATAGGTATAGATGACTATGGTCTCCTGAAAGCGTATGCTTTCTTTCGTTCCTCTCCTTCCTTATTACTTATGGGACACAGATGGATCGGTAGAATGTCCACTTTTCTGGATGGAGGAAGTAGCCATGACGCTAAGATGACTCCCGAATAAAATGTCTAGACATGCCAATAAAAATAAATTTCAACTTCTAAACACAACCTATGAAATAAAGATTAACAAAGTTGATAGTGCTAGCACGATAAAATTATATGCTTGGACTGTCTGGAGAGTGCACGGATTGTACCTCTCCTTGATCATGCTCGACAACGCCAGAGGTGAATATGCGCCTGTAATATGGTCAATGATATGATGGCAACAATACGAACCCCAGATTATCTGACAAAAAACAGAGTAGCTACCCATCGATCAATCCTGAAATGGCCTTTGATGATGCTGCCTCATTCAACATGACAGCGATTGCCAAACACACTGACAATTGAAAGGGATAAGGCAAATCATAAAGCTCGTGCCAGTATTATACTACGTGCCCGTGGCGATATATATATCAAGTAGTCAAAACTTGCTTAACTTGTGCCAAAGATTTCTTAGCCACATAAATCATGGCAAATACCACAGCTTAGATATCAAATTTTGACAAAGTGAAACAAACAATCTAGTCATGCCATGCGTTTATGTTCCTCAGCTAATACTGTGTTGCAAGCCTGAGAAGGACCCGCGCGTGCCCGTCCATTGTGATCCGATGGAATCAATTATTGGAGTAGATATTGCCTCAACCAGTGACACAACGACGATGGCCATTGTTTAAAAGATCATCTATTGCTTTCAATCCGGCCATTAATCGTTTAACTTTGATGGTCATGTCCAAGTGTTCAGGGGTGGGGTTCCCTGTTGTTTTTGTCGTGGCTAGCTGGGTGTGTTAGAGATGTCTGGACTTTGTTTTTGTTCTCGTCTAATATGCAATTTGTTTTGAATGTTATATTTAACAAAACTAATTTAGTGGTGTAGATATTGAAGAATATTTTAATAATCCGATCAAGCTTACAAGAATTCATTTGGAAAAAAGTTAGAGCATCTTATATAATATAAAACGAATAAAACGAAGTGAGTACATCACTAGCTTACCATGCTCTAAACAACGAACCTTTTATCACCATCCATCGCAATAGCGACGTGCGCGCGCGCCCGCACCATATGTAGATCGACTGTATATATCCGTAGCCAGCGTCGTCACCGTCGTTGTATCCAAAGCTACCCACTTCTGCTGTTGTGCTACCCTCCAAAGCTGGAGTCCTAGCTAGGCAGACGGCAGCAAGCCTGTCCCGCGCGCCCTCGAGCTGTGATCCTCACGCAACACGCGCACGGCGTAGGTAGCGCGGCTAGCCCTGCACGCGTGGGCATGGACGTGGAGGCGACCAAGGACGTGGTCCACGAGCAGGCGGCGGCGCCGGGGCGCGGCAGGGCGGCGCGATGGCTCCTCGTGGCGCTCAACTGCGGGATGCTGGTGGTGGGCACCACGGGCGGGCCGATCCTTAGCCGGCTCTACTTCAGCAAGGGCGGCCACAGGAAGTGGCTCTCGGCGTGGCTCGAGACCGCCGGGTGGCCGCTGCTGCTGGTGCCCGTGTCGGCGTCCTACCACAGCCGCCGCGCGCGCGACCGCGGCGCGCCGCTGTTCCTCACGCCGCGGCGCGTGCTGCTGGCGGGCGCGGTGCTCGGCGTCCTCACCGGCGCCGACGACTTCGTCTACGCCTACGGCCTCGCCTACCTGCCGGTGTCCACCTCCGCCATCCTCATCTCCACGCAGCTCGCGTTCACCGTCTTCTTCGCGTGCCTCATCGTGCGGCAGCGGCTCACCGCGGCGACGCTGAACGCCGTGGCGCTGCTCACTATCGGCGCCGTCGTGCTGGGCCTCCACGCGTCCAAGGACCGACCCGCCGGGGTGACCACCGGGAAGTACTGGATGGGCTTCTTCCTCACCCTCGGCGCCGCCGCGCTGTACGGGCTCATCCTGCCGCTCGTCGAGCTCGCGTACAAGCACGCCGCGGGCGGCGGCCGCGCCGTCACGTACGCGCTGGTGATGGAGATGCAGCTGGTCATGGGCTTCTTCGCCACCGCGTTCTGTACCGTCGGTGTGATCGTCAACAAGGACTTCCAGGTGACCGCGTGTCCCTATATGCACCTCTTGCTTAATTACTAGATCCAAGTTCCGACAAATTGAAAACAACAACAATGCAAGTACAGTAGCAAAAGTCAGATCATAATGCAACTTATATGCATGGTTTAAAAGCGACGGCCTGCAACTTGCTCTGTGAAAAGTTGAAAACTTCTCCTCTTTTGGTTTGCATCCGCTGTTTTTTAATTACGAAATTGTGTGGCTTTCTTTCAATGATTGCTGAACTATCTAGTAATTATCTGCCTTTTTGTACTTTAATAAACTTGTGCTTTCTAAGCTCGCAATAACTTCTCTATCGGCTATTTGCATTCTAATTATGTTTTAAAAAAACATTTGTAGTTTTTAAAAAAGCTGATATCCTAATTATGTTTTAAAAAAGCTGATATCCTAATTATGTTTTAAAAAAACATTTTCTCTGTCTTAAATATAAGTATTTGTAGTTTTGTTCTATGCCAAACTATTTTAAGATTGTTAATAATAGTTATTGTGAACGGTAAAAATATATTTTATAATGTATCTAACCATATATTTGATATCATAAATATTTTTGTTTTTTTCCTATAAAATTGGTAAAATTTTGAATAGTTTGACTTAAGATAAAATCAGAAATATTATGATATGATTTATTTCATAGCTTAGTCTTAATGTCTTCTAGTCATGCAGCTCCCACCCATTCATAATGATTGATTTGTTGCATATATCAATATTGTCCCGGTCTATCATGATTGTATTATAGAACTTTATCCCTGTATATAGATCTCTCTTATTACGTACTTCTGTTAACATGGAATTGTTTACCTAACAAAACATAATGTCTCTAGCATTTCAATTTTCACATATAGTTTTTTAGACAATAGAAATGGTTTAAATCTTCAACCTTTACCATAAGGCACACGGCCATTTCAATTCCCTATTGAGTTTTGTTGCTAGAATTAAAACAAGACATAGGGTCTCCCAAAATGATGACCATTTGATTTATGGGCGCCAGAGAATCGCATAGATTCTAAGACAATTAATACGGAGTACATTCTATTGCAGAGATCTGTATATTAATTGACTAGAGTTGCAATAGATTCTAGTCATACTGGAGGTCTTGAATGTTATAATTAGTGGCACTAACTATTACCTTTTCAATGATTGTAAAATAGACGACTTCTGCTTTTAAACTACTCCCTCCATTCCAAAATATAAGGCACAACCACCATTAACCTAAAGATCAAGAAATAATTATTATTATATTGTAGTTTGGATCATCACGATAAATGTAATGCATGCATCCAATATGATTAAATAACATGAGAGTTGAGGATTTAAAAAAGTAGTAATTTAATAGACAAGATGTCATAGTTAATTGCATGCTTACATGCATGCCTTATATTATGGAACATCCAAGAAAAGTGGTTGTGCCTTATATTATGGAATGGAGGGAGTATTAGTTTTTGTGCATCAGCGTAATGGGTCCTACTTTCTTAAACGAAAAAAATGCCAAGCCAATGAAACAATACTAGCCAAACTATTTTCAGAAGCAGAGGAGTAAAAATACAATAATACATATAAGGAGATGAGTTAGTTGAAAAAATGTTGGATATATATTAATATATTTTTTCAATGATCGTAAAGTAGACGACTTATGCTTTTAAACTATTAGTTCTTGTGCATCAGCGTAATGGGTCCTACTTTTTTAAAAAAAATGCCAAGACGATGAAACAATACTAGCCAAACTATTTTCACAAGCAGAGGAGTAAAAATACAATAATACATATAAGGAGATGAGTTAGTCGAAAAAAATATTGGATATATATCAAGAAGGGGGTGAGTGTGTTCGCTGGGATTCGAACACGGGCCTTCGGACACACCGCCGTAGACCCACCTACTGCGCTATGCTGTAGTTGTCGAATATGAGCTAGGTAAATGACTACCACACCTTGAAAGCATCTATACTCCTGCTATAACAACGAGACAACTACTTACACATTATTTGATACTAGAACTTTCTTGTACTTCTCTCTTTCCATATCAGCCATAAAAATACAATGACTCTCGAATCAAACATCTTTTTATTTGATTTCGATGGCTTGTTGTGCATCATGTACCATTAGGTTTAGAGATCCTTATCGATGGCCACAGCCCACAGAGAAACAAGGAGCTAAGTTAGCACACACCAAATTCTAGACCTCCTCGATCTCTAGAAATAATGTAGATGAAGACTAATGGATTGTGGATGATTAATTTGGATAAATTAAATGTGATATATTATAAACCAAACATGCAACTTATACAACTTAGAATAAGTAGCCTAAACAATACAAATATATATTTTTTTTAAAAATCATACTTTTAAAATCATATGCCACAAATTAATAGTCGTAGCCCAATAATCAAAATAGATGCACCTTGAGAAAACACGTTCAGCGAAGAGATGTCAACCTAATTCCTGTTCTTGCTCGCAAACGGGGCAATTTTTTTGGGGTGATTTTTGGATTGATTACGCATGGATTAATTAATAGTAAAAATAGATTTGTTTAGATAATGAAAGTTTTTATAGGACCCAGTTAATTATATTAAGTTGATAAATTTTTCTGAGATAGATATGAGATTAAAAAGTAGTGCTAACTTTTTTTAAAAAAAAAAAATAGTGCTAGCATGATATTAGAATTATATGCTTGTACACAGTTGTACTGTCCGGAGAGTGCACGGGTTGTACAAACCCCTAGATCCCATGCATGCATGAAAACGCCAGTGGCGAATAATAATATGCGTGTAATCTGGTCAATGACGGCAACGATACAAGCCCCTAATTTTCAATCTGATAAAAAAAAACAGAGTAGCCATCACGGCAATCAATCCCGAAATGGCCTTGATGCCGTGTCTCATTCAACGTGACAGTAACTGCCAACACTGACAATCGAAAGGGATAATAAAGAGAATATTGAGCTCGTGACATAATGGTAGTACTAGTAGCATAGTACTATGTGCCCGTGGCACGGCTCTATTTAAGAGTTAAAAGACAGATTATTGATTCAATCATTGCCATAGATCATTCACTTGACTATAGTGTTAAATAAAATAAATAGATAGTTTAAAATAATACTCCCTTTGTCCTATAATATAACCTAGTACCAGATGAAACATTTCATAGTAGGCTGTCCAGATTCGTTGTAGTATGAAATGTCTTATCCGGTACTATATATATTATGGGACGGAGGGAGTAAGTGGTAAACAATACAATAGAAGAAAGATTTTTAAAAATACATATATTTTGTACAGATGTGGAGCAAATAATCCTTTGTAGTAATCTGGTAAAGTAACCGAAAAGAATATGACAAAGTGCCAAGTCGAAGCAGTCACGCGCTTAAATTTCTCAGCTAATTAATTATTTTGTGTGGACAACCTCAGAAGGACACGCGCATGCCTGTCCATTGTGATCCGAAGGAATCAATTATTGGAGTAGATATTGCTTCAGCCAGTGACAAAACGACGATGTCCATTGTTTAAAACATTATCTATTGCTTTCAATCCGGCCATTAGCCTTTAACTTTGATGATTCCAAGTGTTGCACGGCCACTTAACTTTCTTCCTCTAGTGTGAGTTGGATGGGTGCTCTGTCTGGTCTAACAATCACCTTGTTTCGTGAAAATCATGTCACGTCATGCAAGGTTTGATAAGGCTTCAGGATTCAGTGTACATTGTTCAGATAAGTCAAGAAAAAAAAATTAGACCCCCATAGAGTAAAATTCCCGAACCTTTAAGGATGTATTTGGTTGAAGGAACTATATGAGTAAGTTGAGGTGAGTTTCAGAATATTTAATTTAAGGACATGTGAAATAGAATGATTTCTCGAAGAAAATTATTCCATCTAAAGTTAGATCTGCTTCATACCATAAAAGTTGGCAGACTAACCCAGCCCACTTCATCTCTTATCGATATGCGGGTCATATCCTCTCATTTCTAAAATAGGATTATTCCATCCCTCATACATACGGGACCATATAATTAAAAATAGGAATGGGTGTTATATCTAACCTATTCAACCTTATCTCCAAATCAAACACATGGTAGGAGAAGCACGTTAGGAGAAGTGAATTAATTTCGCATGTGGTGGTGATCTCTTTTTTCAAAAGCAAATACACGAGCTCTGTCGATCAATTGAGATATTAAAGGTACTAACATAGTACGGGGTGGTACGTAACTGTGTGCAGACTGTAATTGTTGCTGCCTTTTTGATTATCTGGATGCCATCATCCTCAAGGTACAATTTTCAAAAGGACCTTATGTCAAAAAAAAAAAAGAATTCAAAAGGGCACATCATGGGAATGGCCTTTATCTTGCAAGTGGAATCCTGGGTTTTCGGGGGAAAAAAGGACAGAGTGGGCAGCACTGCTCCAGCCTCCAGTGCACGATCTCCGGAGTGTTAGATTGCCAGAAAAAAAGGGCTGCTAGATTGCTTACTTTCGATTTGATCCCATTGTTTCTGGAGCGCACAATACTGGTAGGCATATGTCATGCCCCCACCACTAATCAGAAATCAACACACATACCTTTCCCATACCCTCCCTACAGTGCAAAGCATGGGTCAGCAGCCAGCACCAGGGACACATTGCAAGTTGCTACTAGAAGATTTGATCATTAGTAAACAAACTGCTAGGCGAAAACAATGTGGAATAACCACTTTGCAGTTTAGGCATGCAGGAGCAGTGCATCTGTGGCACAATAGATAGAAGCACGAGTGTCACCATAGGACAAATCTTGCAGTATGTTTTCTGTAGATATTGGTAGGTATTACTCACAAGTCACATCTCATGTCTCTTTATCCATCATATATAGGTCCTGTTTGGATTCCTCCGGAATCTTACTATTTAGAAGTATTAAACGTAAATTACAGACAAAACCTATTCCATAACCCCTAGGCTATTGCACGAGACGAATCTAATGAGGTATGTTAATCCATGATATGCTACAGTGATACTACAGTAATCAGCCGCTAATCATATATTAATATACATCATTAGATTCGTCTCGCAAAATAGCATAGGGGTTATAGAATCGGTTTTGTCGGTAATTTACGTTTAATACTTCTAAATAGTAAGATTCCGGAGGGCTATTTAATAGCTCGGAGGATCCAAACAAGGCCATAGATACACGTAACGAAATATAAGCTTTTATGTGCGTGAACATCCATCAGATATTCAGATCGTGACAAGTATACGTACTACCATATTGATTTGGCCCTTTCAGAGTTGTGTTGCCTACTAACGATCGATCACCCCTGAAACTGAACACGTACGTACGCAGGCGATCCCGAGGGAGGCGAAGCAGTACGAGCTGGGTGAAGCGCGGTACTACGTGGTGCTGGTGTTCAACGCCGTCCTGTGGGAGTTCTTCTTCGTGGGCGCCGTCGGCGTCATCTTCTGCGTGCACACGCTGCTCGCCGGGATCATCATCGCCGTGTTCATCCCGATCACGGAGGTGCTGGGCGTCATCTTCCTCCACGAGAAGTTCAGCAGCGAGAAGGGCGTGGCGCTCGTGCTCTCGCTCTGGGGCCTCGCCTCCTACTCCTACGGCGAGTACGCCGACGCCAAGGCCAAGAAGAAAGCGGCTTTGGAAGCTGAAGAAGCCTCATGAATCCGTGTGTATATATTGCTTACTTTGCTTTTGTTGTGCCAGTGGCCACGGATTTATTAGTTTTTATAGGCCATAAAGTGAGCTGCATCTGCAGCAGTTCAACTGCTCGTGGAGCAAAATAGCAGACTGTGTGCACATTGCACTATTTGTGTACTGTATGTGATCGAGGCTGTTTTTGTGGGTCGGCGAAAACAAGCTACTTCACTGTATCTGTAATGACTGAGTACGGTGCAATGTTTGTTCTTGTACTCACTTTTTGTTCTTATTAATCTGGTCATGCATGTCCATGACCAATCTACCATTTTGTGTACTGTGTACTCTAGTGAATGTGGACATCTGGACTACATGCAAGCCTATATTGTGACCTGTTGGAATTATTTATTCTCGGGATCTAATTGCTTAGCTTAACACATGATTACCAATTCTAAATACGAAATTGGGATGATTACTGACTGGATGAATTGAAGCCATAAGTGTTATATCTGTTCCTCCTTTTCTGTTCTTACCAGTTCTTACTCATTTTCTTAGATTACGCGGTGTACTGGACATCGGGTAAAGGATGCAACACCGCTGCAGGAACACCTGCTTCTTTCTTGATGTTTCTCCTGCACAAGAATTGAATAAAAGACAGCACTACGAATCCCTCACAGTATGATAGATCAATCGGGCTCTATTAGATTTTAGGATTTAGCGTAGGAATTAGTCTTTACTTCTTCTCAACTGCTACTCTCCTTTTATTTTTACTGGTGAGACTCGGGGGGCTAATCCCGATTAGAATATAGGTAGTTGCCACTGACCACGACGACGGTTTTTATCTCTCATGTTTTACTTGTTTTTTTTTGTTAGGGCAGGAAAACCAATAAAATTATTTTCTTCCTAATTGTATCGGTATTAACCGATAAAATCAACTACCATGAACAAGATAATTGACGCATACACTTTCAATAGGAAAAGAAGCAGAGGTGAGTTTCATGATCAGTGCAGAAGCAGAGCACCACTTCTTATCCCTGACACTACAGCACCTGCAGTTGCTGGGCCTGGGCGTATCCGGCGATCAGTTCAGTTTCCTCAAGGATAACGCTTGACTTGCAGATTGACGCACGTTATGTCACACCGGTTTCTCTTGTCCTCTTCTTGCCGTTTTCTTCCCTGGACGGCTGGACCTGCTCGTTCTCGGTGTGTGCGAACATGACGCCACCAAAACCAAACTCTATATACACCGTACCTATGAGCTGTAGAGATGCATCTCAGATATCACGGGGAATGGACCAACTTCTTGTTAAATCGCGATCCTAAATCGAAATTAAATGTTCTACTCCATACTAATCACAATCATAGAATTATATGTATAAAAAATCGTAAATTCTACATATATACGCCCTCCATTTCTAAATATTTGACGCCGTTGACTTTTTAAAATATGTTTAACCGTCCGTCTTATTAAAAAAACTTAAGTAATTCCTATCATTTGATTCATTATTAAATATACATATATGTATATATATATAGTTTTATATATTTCATAAAAGTTTTTGAATAAGACGAACGGTCAAATATGTACTAAAAATTCAATTGTGTCAAATATTTAGAAACGGAGGGAGTATGATGATACAGTTAGAAACCTTAATTAGGATAGTAAAATCGAATTATAGGATCGAGATATTGACAACCAAGTAGACTTGTGGGGAGGGACTGTATACTCCTACTCCCTCCGGGTTGATAATACTTGTCGTTTTAGACAAGGGCACGGTCTTCAAAAAACAACTTTGACCATTATTTTCTATCATAATATGTAAAAAAGTATTAACAAATATATGATCTTATTAAAGTACTTTTTAAGACTAATCTATACATGTGGTCACCATATTTGAAAGACAAATATTTTGAAAATGATTCATAATCAAATATTTTAAAGTTTGACCTCACCCTTATCTAAAACGACAAGTATTATCAGCCCGGAGGGAGTACTTTATTGAGCCTTTGCTTTTTTTAGTTTTTAGGGGTGTATTTCGGAGAGCGCTACGGCTCGGACGTCCGATATCCCACCAAATATCCCATCAAATATCGGACGCCCAGCCAAGTTCTGAGCGTATGTGCATGTGCATATTGCTACACTTCATTTTTCACTCCACAATCATGAGGAATCTTCCCATCTGAGGTCTCATGTCAAAAAAAATTGGTTGGTCAAATGTTCCTAGTTGACCATTGAGTGAAACATCAAATTATATATGGCGAAACAAAAAAAATCAACAATTGAAACATTTAAAAATTTTATGAAACATGATGATGAAGATACACGTTGAAACATGTTGCTACCACATATGAAACAACTAGGGTTAACGAATTGAAGCATATTTTTTTATCAAAATATATTCATGTGATATCTTGTAAAGATTTAATTACAACGAATACAATGGTGTGATCAGATCATAGATTGGATAATTAATTTATGAGAAAAATCATTTTAAAGCTCGCAAAAATGCATACATGTATGCATGTATGAGGTAGAGAGAGATGGGAGGGTAGTGGCAAGTATTTATGTGAATTTTATGAAACACAATAAAAACATATGCTGAAACATGTTGCTATAACGTATGAAACATAAAGTATTAATGGTTTGAAACATATGTTTTTCTTTAATCGGAATATAATCATGTGACATCTTGTTATAAAGATTTAATTCCAATGAATATAACGGTGCAATCGGATTTTAGATCGGATAAGTAGTCTAGGAGAAAAAATATTTTGAAAATTGACACGTGCATATGCATGGTTGAAATTAGCAGTTAGTTGGTTGCAGATACTCCAACGTGGGAAGCATCGGCGTGGTGTCCGATTTTCCTGTTTTATTCGGATGGCCGATTACAAGCATTCTCCGTGTATTTCATGACGACTGACTAAATCCCGATACTCATTGTTGGATTTACATATAATTAATTCCATTATCACATAATAAGTAAAATATATGATATGGCACTTAGGTTAAGGGAAAGTCATGTTGTCACTTAAGGGCATATTCAATGGTAGAGACAACTATCGTCTCTTAGACAATACAAGATTATTTAAATATCGTGTCTTTTTAATAGTTGAGACGATAAAGACTCTAACCATTAACTCAAAAAATATTCCTTATATTACTATTATTTCCTTCTTTTTACCCTCATACAACCATGTTTCCATATTACAGAGGCTAAGAGTCATTGTTAAGCCATTTGTTACCCATAGCAACGATGTTTTGTCTCTTCTCTTTTTTTTTTCTTCCATGTCAGCAATTATTCCTAATTAGTACCGGTAAGAGACCGCTATTAACGACCATTGTGTGCATGTACATGCTCATTCTTTGCATGTAATGTATATGGGTATGAAAAATTATAGAAATTCGATAACATAGATAATTATGAGAGATATCACTATCACAACATGCAAATTTAAATTCGACCTAAACAAGTTGAAGAAAAATAACAAATCTGATTACTTGTACTATTCAGGGTGTTTTTTTTGTGGGGATAAAAGAAAGGGTGTAATTTGTTATTTTTCTCATTATGTGATCAAACTTGAAGTTGATATTTTGCATGGTGATAGATGACTAATGTACCAATGTTGTCGTTTTTTTCAGATTTATTATAACTATTTAATTAGTATTTAAGACTTGATTACAAAACAAACGATTGGACATACACTTCCAAACATGAAGATTAAGTGTGGGCGCGCAAAATAAGAAAGACATTAGCGCATGATTAAGTAAGTTTTAATCATTATAAACTTGAAATTTTGATTTATTTGATATTATAAAGAAACTTCTATATAGAAATCTTTCATACAAAATACATCGTTTAGCAGTTTGAAGAATGTGCTAATGAAAACATGAAATATATATTTTATCTCGGTTTTCCTTAACACGTTTTTCAAACAGCTAAACAGTACTCTTTATATTAGTATATTTTGTGTGAAAACTTTCTACGTGAAAGTTGCTAAACAACCTATCGGTTTTCTTTAGTATCCTTCTCTTCGAGGAGCTCTACTTTTAGACATCACCATTGGGATAGCTCTCAAATGCATGGGTCTCAATCGAATCTCTTGTGCCAAGCAATCTCTCGGGCACCGAGATGGTAGAACGATTTGTGCCAAGCCATTAATTGGGCCTTGACAATGAGAAAAGGCACATTCGCGCTACGAGCCTAGCTAGGTGCAACTGGACCTGGTCACCTGGGCGCGCGTTAGTGTTCTCGACATGGGCTGTTGCGGTGGTGGTGGTGGCAGTGTACCATCACCGAGAGGTGACCGAGCGGACGTCGCCGGAAGCTGACAACCTCAGCTGTCAGGTTCGTGTGTCGTGACAACCTCAGCTGCCGAAATCATTTTTGCACGGGACGTACACGGTACACAGCACGGTGCACCCGTATGCCATATAAACCGGAAGTGGATTTTTGTCCCTCAAAGAGACATCCTCTTGTTTCTGTGCATGTCGTTTACAAAGATATAAAAAAATAAAAAAAATTGTCAAGATAGATCCATATATGGTATATCTTTTCGCAAATATGCGAGTTAAAATTTGACTTATACAATTCGAAAAAAAAACAAATTTGACCGTGAATTACGTATTCTATTCATAGTTAAATTTGTTATTTTTTATATACTTGTATAAATTGAATTTGAATTTACATGTTTGTAAAGTGACATATCACATAGGAATATTGATCTATCATACTAATTTTTTTAAAAAAAATTTAATAACTTTTAAAATGACATGTATAAATGAGGGATATCCCCAGGGAATGAATTGAGTTTTCCATATAAACCGCCGTGTCGCCGTGCACACTCATCATCCTCGCAATATCTCATTCTCGGGCTCACTTTGTTGATCATGGAGGTGGAAGCGGCGACGACGCAGCGACAGCCATGCAAGAACGCGATCACCACCAAGCAGCAGCAGCAGCAGCAGCAGCAGCTGAGCACCGGTAGACTGTTCAGGAGCCCGCTCCTCGTCGTCAACTTCGTCCTCATGGTGGTCGGCTCGGCGTGCGGGCCGCTCCTCCTCCGCGCCTACTTCCTCCGCGGCGGCAACCGCAAGTGGCTCTCCAGCCTTCTCCAGACCGCCGGCTGGCCGCTGCTGCTCGCGCCGCTCTGCTTCTCGTACTCCTCACGCCGCCGCCGGCGCGAGGTTGAGGACGACGGCGCTGGCGCTGGCGCGGCGGCCACGCCGCTGTTCCTCATGACGCCACGCCTCCTGGTGGCGTCCGCCGTCGTCGGGCTCATGACCGGCGTCGACGACCTCCTCTACGCCTACGGCCTGGCCTACCTCCCGGTGTCCACCTCCTCCATCCTCATCTCCACGCAGCTGGCCTTCACGGCGGCGTTCGCGCTGCTGCTCGTGCGCCAGCGGTTCACGGCGTTCTCGGTGAACGCCGTCGTGCTGCTCAGCGTCGGCGCGGCGATGCTGGGGATGAACGCCGGCGGGGACCGGCCGGCGGGGGTGTCGCGCGCGCAGTACTGCGCCGGGTTCGCCATGACGCTCGCCGCCGCGGCGCTGTACGGGCTCGTGCTCCCCGTCATGGAGCTCAGCCAGGCGCACCACGCCGCCGCGCGCGGCGCCGTCACGTACACGCTCGTCATGGAGATGCAGCTCGTCATCGGCTTCGTCGCCACGGCCTTCAGCGCCGTCGGCATGCTCGTCAACAACGATTTCCACGTAAGATTTCAACCTCTACTCTCACAGTTCTTCACAGCACACTGATCTTAGCCGTATTGCACCATCCAAAAACTCAACACATTTTTCATATACTCCCTCTATTCCATAATATAAGACATGCACACATTTCAAAATTCAACTTAAAAACATTTGACCAACAATTATTATAATATAAATTAATTTTTTAACTAAAATTAATATCATTGGATTGACATTTAAATTTACTTTAAGATGGTTAAAATTTTGTTATATATGAGAAATTATAAGTCAAAAATTAGTTTTGAACATTGTGCCAAGTTTGATCATGCCTTATATTATGGGATGGAATAGATATTAGCTGTGTTCTGATAGAGTTCTTAGCAATGACGTCTACCCTTTTCTCAGAGTTCTGAACTGTATAGAGTACTTATTAGGCTGACATGGTAATGCACAGGAGTGGAGTTACCTTTTGTCATGCTAAGTGATCTGATCAGTGGACTGCTAGTGAAAGGCAATCTACAGGCTACTGAGATATTATAAACTATTTAACCCCACTCAGAAATGAATGTAACTATGCCAATAGATCAGAGCACGTTCCAAGCTTTTTTGAAAAGAAATTTAAGTATATCAGAGCACGCTTCTGAAAGATTGGCACACAATGACATAATCAAATCTTAATAGACAATAAAAAAAGAGAGTGAATTGTATTTTGTACCTCCTTTTTCTTATCAAAGTTTTACTTTGATCCCCTTGTTTATTCTTTTCATTTTGGACCCTCTTTTTCTTTCTTTTTGGATCAAATTTGGCCTTTGTACTTACACTGAAGCCCAGCAGCAGCAAGTCGTACTTGTGGGCTATATAGGATAGGTAGTGGTAGATCGGTGCAAGCCAATCATTTAGCAAGTTGTTCATGTTTGCAATAAGATGTAACTCTTTCTCGAACAAGGAAAGCTAGTTGTGTTGACGAGTCTGTCTACCGTTAGACCTAACAAATGGGTAATCAAAGTCTATATAGCCCAAGAATATTCTTCACAACAGAAACAAGAGGAAAATTAATTGAATATCCATATTTCCAGCTATCTCATAGAAAAAAAAATACATGCTATCATGAAGGTGTTTTTAATTCTAGAAAAAAAAGCCTAATTAGTGACTTCTTCATTTCTAACACTTCAATTAAATTTTGTTGTGCAACCGGTTGAAATTAATAAATATACTAAAGGGAACTAGAGGCCTAGCTTATGTTTAGTAAATTCTTGATCAAGCTCTTTTGGAGACATTAGATCATATATGCAGTAGTATTTCTCATTAAGCTGGAAAGCAACCAAACGCAGGCAATCCCAGGAGAAGCCCATGAATTCGGTCTGGGCCAAGCGGGCTACTACCTGCTCCTGGCCGGATCGGCCGCCATGTACCAGTGCTTCTTCCTCGGCACGATCGGCGCCATCTTCTACGGCTCGGCGCTGCTCGCCGGCGTCATCATGACCGTGCTCATCCCGGTCACCGAGGTGCTCGCCGTCATGTTCTTCCACGAGCCATTCAACGGCACAAAGGGCGTCGCGCTCGCTCTCTCGCTATGGGGCTTCGTCTCCTACTTCTACGGCGAGGTCCGGGCGGCCAAGGCGGCGCATCGCCGCCGCCACTCCGACGAGCCCCCAAAACCGGACCATTTGGACCCTTAATTAGAATGATCAGATCACTACAAAAGTACAAAACTGTACTGTATTTTTCCTCTTGAGGAAATAATTAAGTAGGCAATATTGTACACTGGATAACATATCATAGAGCATTAAGTTTGTCTCTCTAAGACGGATCATGCTTCGAGCATCTACTACTTCTGCACAATGTGCTTGTGACGAACTTATTGTTTAACCATGGACCATGGAGATGAAACGTACTAGCTGGGGAGCTGAAGTGACCGTGCTCTCTACGCCGAGAGGATCTGCTCACGGCGAGCCTTGTTGAGCGCGACGAGCTTGTCCCTCGGCGGCAGGACCGCCTTCACGGCGTCGACGGCGAGGACCCGGTCGAACCAGGCCTTCATCAGGGGCAGCGCCTCGTCGGTGACGACTTCGACGCCGCAGGCCTCCTCGATGACCGGCAGCCAGTAGGCGAACCACCCGGTGACGATGTCAAGGTAGCCGAAGGCGTCGCCGCCGAAGAACTTCTTCCCCTCCAGGGCCGTCTCCAGCGTCTTCAGGCACTGCTGGGCCTCGTGCACCAGCTTTCTCTGCTCCTCTCCGGTCGTCATGAAGATCGGGTACAGAGCAGCGTTGCACTATAACAACATCCAATGCAACGTAAAGGAACGTGGATTTTCATTTCTCAAGGGAATATCCTCTTGTTTGTATATCATCTATATAGTTATTAAAAAAATTAACAACATAGATTAATACTATGAAATATATCACTCCACAGACATGCTATACAAAATTCAATAAATTCAACTTATACAACTTGCAACAAAAAAAAATAAATTAAACTGAAAATAGTTATCGTACATTCGCAGCTATATTTGTTATTTTTGTTACAACTTGTAGAAATTAAATTTAAAATTGCATGTTTGTGGAGTGATATATTTTATATTAATCTATGTTACCAAATTTTCTTATGACTATTTAGATGTCATGTAAAAAACGAGGGGAGGGGATATCCCCGAGTGATGAAATCACTTTTCCAATGCAAAGCCAATCAATCTAACTAAGAGGTCAGAAAAAAAAAGGATTGGATTTGGATTTGAGTCATCAGTAGAGAAAGTTGGATTATACCTTCTCTTCAGCGAACCTGGCCCAGAACCTCGCCTGAGCACGGTCGAAGGGGTCGGAGGGCATGATGGGGTAGCCGTGCTTCCAGGCCTCGTCGATGTACTCGACGATGACGGTGGACTCGGCGAGAGGCTTGCCGTCGTGGACCAGCACGGGCACCTTCTTGGTCACCGGGTTGTGCCGGAGCAGCGCCTCGCTCTTGTTGGCGAGGTCCTCGTCGACGTACTCGTAGTCGACGCCCTTGAGCCGGAGCGCCCACTCCACACGGATCGCCATGGGGCTCGCCCACATGCCGAACACCTTCACTCCCTTGTCTGCTGCCATGGCTGGAACTCGCTGCTGATGCACTTGCAGCTGCTGATCCCCTCTTTGGGATTAAAAAGGCTTGGGAAGTTGGGAGTTGGGAGTTGGGAAGTCAAGTCAACGTTGCTTGGGAGTACTCTACATTTTAAGCGGCTGATTCTTCTTCCCTTTCCTCTATCGATATATCGATCAGTGACACTGACAAGAGAGACTTTCTAAAATGAATGGTCCATCTGTACGGATTTTGTGGGAGTTTGACAAAATGGAGAAAATATTGCCCGGTGCTAGTAATAACAAACGACTTGGCATCATTAGAAATTGTTTGTTTCTAAACTGAAGTGTTCTGAAGTATAGGATCACACTTTCACTAGAGGCGGAGCAAACTTGAACTCAGCCTCTTCGATATTATTTGTTTGTTACACAGAAAATGGGGTGAGAATACTCTACCATAATGTCATTATCATTACCATAATATCATTATCATTATGGTCACTAGTATGCGGGTCTCACCATCCCTCCTATTATCCCACACGTTAATATCTACTCCCTCCGTCCCAAAATGTAAGTATTTTTAGCTATGAATCTGGACATGCTAGATTCATAGCTAAAAATGCTTATATTTTAGAACGGAGGGAGTATAATATAATATCATTATCATTATGGTCACTAGTATGCAGGTCTCACCATCCCTCCTATTATCCCACACGTTAATAATATCTACTCCCTCCGTCCCAAAATGTAAGTATTTTTAGCTATGAATCTGGACATGCTAGATTCATAGCTAAAAATGATTATATTTTAGAACGGAGGGAGTATAATGGTAGTGTCATCATGATAAACGATGTGAACCCCAGAAAATGTTACATCACAGGGTGAAAAAAATATTAGCACGCAATCATGCATACCGTGTATGGCGCTCTATCACTCACTGACCCTCACAACAGGGAAACTATTAAGGGCAGAGAGTATTGCCAGGCGATTCTGGCTATAGTTGTTTCCAACCATATTACATCTCGGAGCACACGTATACTTTGAATGATAGACGGCATGAACGTACGCTGATATTATTATTAGTAATGCCGGTACCAGAAGTCCAGAAGTGCACCTCTTATTCTCATCAGCAAGCAAGTTTTTGTTCTGGAAATCCTCTTCCTTATCCACAATCAAAGGTTCTGCAAGGCTTGTGCAACATTCCTTGATATTCTTTCGTGAATCGGCTCCTGCATTTAACAAAAATGTTTTAAGTATATGGTTGTCAGTTACAGCAAATTCACCAAACTGTCGTCACATACCTGAGTTTTGGGGATCTCGAACTTTGTGTTTGTAATTGTCTCAAACAGGAAAATGTACCTGTGGTGGATATTTAAGCAAACTATAATTCAACCAATATGATATCATGTTTGTACGAGATTCATGTACATAGAGAAGCACATAAAGTTGTTGGTTGAACATGCTCTGAAATGAGAAGTACTAGAACAAACTCAGAGAAATAGACATACCGCCAAGCTAGTTCACAAACTAGTTCTTCTGGAGCTTCAGGCAGAACCTGAGTATTTTAAAGTAACAGATAAACATGAAATGAGTTTTCACAAAAACAAAGAGCCTTCAAAAGACAAACAAACATGCAGTCAATGGACATGGAATTTATACGTGGACCTATTCATGGACATCTCATATTTCACTAATTATCAACATTTGCTTACTATGGAAAATGCTTAAGTGGTTTAAGGAAAAATGGTATACCGCATCTTCGTATGGATTGCAATTGTTCTTGAACCAGAGTCTTAAGAACTCCTGGTGAAAATAAAATCACATCTTCAGCAATTCCATTGTAAATTAAAAGCATAATAAGTTTAAGGCATAACGCTGCCACATGTATAGTTTCAGGAGCAGTCTACCTTGTCAACATTTTCAGGCTCAAGACCAGAACTGAATCTCTCTTCGTAAGAATCAGCAATCCAATATCTGCTGGAGTCAGGAGTGTGTACCTGCTTGTCAAAAAGAGGAAATTTGGAATTCTGTTAGAAATCATCATTAAATATATTAGAAATTATCAAAGAGATTAAGACATGCAACATTTTTTTAAAAAAATAAAAAAATCCTAGAAACTATATTTCTGGGAATGGGAACCGGTTGGCGAAATGGTAACTCAAACCCTTAGAACAAGCCCCAGCACAAAAATCCCTTGGCTTGGTTTTTGTGCAAAAATCACTTACCAAATATGAAAACAAAACATGTACTTATGTAAGGGTAGTTCCAACACAATAACACACTAAAGTGATGTCATGACGAGCATGTTACGTTTATAGAGAGAAACAGTGAGCACAGCTAGCACAAGTTGCTAGTCAGGCATAGTTATCTAAGGTTGGATCAGCCATGCTCTTTCTGTTTCCTGAGACCGACAGGCATAAAATTTGAAGGCAGAACATATCACAAGGATAAAATCATGTAAGAAGATGTAACCTCATCAATCAACATGATTGTCCCATCAGCTGTTTTTCCAAACTCATACTTTGTGTCAACTAGAATCAGTCCATTCTCTAAGGCCACTTCCTGCAGAGATTTAAATAAAAAGGCATATCAAGGCTAAATTTGAGATGTTCCAGGTCCAATGTTAACATTGCCAGTGACATTGCTATAGAAGATTATTAGGCATGCAACTGACACCTTACAAGAACCAGAAGATATGAGAATTAATCACCTGCCCATATGCAAATAAGCTTAAGGCTTTGCTTCTTGCTTCATCAAAATCTTCCTTTGACATTAGTCCTGAATTGATAATCTGCAGAATGCAATGTCATGACCTCTTTGGAGGCGATGAATAAATACGGTAGCATTTACATGCTGAAGAATAAACACCAAGGAGGCACAAAGTGCAACTAAAATAGCTCATAAAAAGGAAAATGAGATCCATGAATCATTCAAGGACTTCTAGATTACTGCCAACTGTGATAATTAGACTTATAAGCAAAGGAGAAACTTCAATAACTGACTAAAGACAGTACGGTAACTTTTGTGACTCCAGAATGACAGGCTTCAACTAGTGCCATCGTTAATTTTCCACCTTTCTCCAATACACCAATGTAATTCCAATGTTAGACTACCAAGAGCATCTGTTTATCCCCTTCCCTATATAAGCTAGTGTCTATTTTGAGGGGAATCATTATGGAGTTAGACTGTTAAGATTATGTTGACATAAAAGTGAAGGAGAGTAAAGACCTCTTCAGGAGTGACAGGAACATCATGATCTGCAGCTTTAGTTGTTGGTGTAAGTATATTTGCAGATAGCTTCTGATTCTTTACCATTCCTGCATATAAGAGGCCACTCACTGTAAGTAAAGAAAAAAAATCCAATTTGGATGTTTGTTGGTTCAGCATACCATCACGTAGAACATTTCCACAATAGTTCCTCGCACCTTTGTTATAAACAGTCCACAAAGATGTATCAGTGCTTCCAGTAACATATCCCCTCACTGAAAAAAAAGCATGAAAATAAAGCTAATTGATCAACACAGATAACAGTTCTCCATAAGATTTTTTTTTTTAAAAAAAAAGGATGATAGACAAGATTCATAAGAATCACGAAAACAAAGAACTAATTGATCAACACAGCCAACAAAATTCTGAGGGATATGATTGCAAAGCAGTAGGAGAAATAATCAGTAAATGCAGCAAGCCTTAGGTCTCACCAACAAATTCAACTGGAAAAACTGAGCACCTTTTTGCAATTGTCACATTCTTATCAGGAGAAGAAACTACTGCATTTGGAGTGATATGACGGGTCCTATCGAACCACCAAAGGCTTGTTTCGTTGAGCACCTATATTCAACCAGATGAAAGCACATCAAAATGATCGACCATGCAAGCGATAATCGCTAGTTCCAACATACATTCTGCTTGTACAATCAACAGGGGAATAAACAGCTAGATTAACAATTGACAAAATTCTAGGCATGACTAAGAACAGACCCTTCTCATATTCTCAGTTGATTATTACTTGCAAACCATTACTGGCAAATACTGCAGTTGCATGAAACAACAACAAGGGCTAAAAATCCAGGCAGTGCAGCCTATCACCAAAATATCATCGACATGGAAACTGAACAAACGCTTGTCAACATTGGCACTGAATAACGACAGATAAGGAGTATATACCTGCCCCTTGAAAGGGATGGAAGCCAGGACGCGATCGAACGCGCTCTGCCGGTCGGTGGTGACCAGCACCAGATGCTCCCCGCTCTCGTACACGTCCCTCACCTTCACCCAGAAACGCAATCGGTCACTCCCTAGTCCAATCGGAGAATCAGTGGGGCAACACAGGCCAATGGTTTTTTTTTTTTTTTTTGCTCACCTTGCCCTTGGCCGCGAGCCGGAGCCCGGGGACGGCGAGGTGGAGGCTGGTCTCGCCGAGGCAGTTCGCCATGGCGCCGCGAGCGGCGAGGAGGACGGCGTCGCGGTGGCCCGGGTCGGCTGCGAGGAGGGATGGGGAGGCGCCACTCCCGGTCCCGGCGGCCGCCGCCGTTGCGGCGAGGGGCGGAGGGCGGCGAGACGAGGAGGCGGACATGGAGAGGTGGTGGGGGAAGCGAGCGGAGGGCGGGAAAGAGGAGGAGGCCGGCAGCGAAGCCTTGGGAAGCCCCCGGAGGCGGAGGGCGGACGGCGGCGCGGAGGGAGACATGGGGGAAGAGAACGGCGAGAGGTTTGGGGGTTTTGCGGCGGGTGTTCCCCTTTTGGCTTGCGGCTTTGGCGGCGGCGGCAGTGCGGCGCGAGGTTTGGGCCGAACTGCCAAAGTAGTACTCCTATATGATATATACTCCCTCCGTATGAAATTTTTACATTTTGGTCCTTTTTGAAAACTTATTTTACAAATAAACCCCTGGGAAAACTTAAACCGGAAATGGTCCTTTTTGGGACGCCAGAGTGGCTGGCGCCGTACCCCAACATGGCGGCGCCAGCCACACTGGCGCCGTGCCCGTGCCACCGTGGCAATAGGGCTGTCGTGGAGGTGCTGACTAGGCCGAAGGGGGCGCCAGCCAAAGTGGCGCCGCCCCTCATACCACGGCGCCAGCATGGCTGGCGCGCCCCTCCTCTGCGGGCCCCACCAACTTCCCCCCCCCCAAAATTTTCGCCAAGTCTATTCTGCCTCCAGGCAACGGCTGGCGCCCCCCCCCCCGACCGCGGCGCCAGGGTGGCTGGCGCCCCCCTCCTGCCCCCATCGAAGCCCTTCTGCCTCCGGACCTCGGCTGGCGCCGCCCTCATGGACCACGGCGCCAGGGTAGCTGGCGCCGCCTTCCCCCAGCCCGAAACCCTTCTGCCTCGCGGCACTGGCTGGCGCCGCCCTTCCCAACCTCGGCGCCAGGGTGGTTGGCGCCGCCCTCTGCCTCCCTGCAAATTGAAGATCCATATTGCACAAATGTACCAATTCACAGTTCGCAATTCAAATCACAATTCACAGATTCGTACAGACTAAAACAGGTTCCAATTGCACAAATCACAATGCCAAAAGTCCATCACATAGTCCTCAGATAGTCCATCACATATTCCACACATCAAACAATGCCAAAAGTCCATCACATATCCCACACATCAAACAATGCAAAAAGTCCATCCTATATTCCACACATGAAACAATGTCAAAAGTCCATCACATAGTCCTCACATAGTCCATCACATTTTATATCACATAGTGCACCACATATGTCATACTACCAACCAATAGATTAACTTCATACAAATTACTTCTTCCGTTGGCGCCGAATTGCTTGCGAGCCCGGAGTGTACCTACATTTGAAAATCCAATGTTTAAAACATTTTAAAAACAAAATAAGGGAAATCAAATAACATTTGAGAATGGTAAGCTCATTTTACCTCTTTTTCGCTGTCCGAGTGGATCGCAAGTTGTATTGCGTGGGTTGCGTCCCCTGAGGCGCGTCGGGAAGCTGTGACATGTCTATCTCCTCGGCGTCTGGTACGACGTAGTCCTCATCCTCCTCGTCCTCATCGTCATCGTCGTCGCTAGGTGGAGCCGGCGCCTTCCCCTTTCCCCTCCCTTGCTTAATGCGTGACGACGACGAGCCACCAACTCCTTCACGCTCTTCTATCCTGATAGAGTGTCGAGCAGTACTTGGACGCGCGGATTGAGGTAGTGGTGGTGGTAGTCTCCCCGGTTGGTACACGTCGTCCAATCTAACCGACCTGCAACCTAATCTTGCTGCAAGTTTCTGGCACCTTTGACGAACTTTCTGCATTTCAAAAAAAAAAGAAGTTTGTTAGGCATAACTCAAGTAATGCAAAGTGCTAAATAAATTTTACCTCTAAAACATTGCGGAGCGTGTTCTCCGTGTCCTCACCACCCCTCGGAGCTTGGAGGGCATGCCCCATTTCATTCACACTCCTGAGGAGCTCTCTCTACTGAAAGCGTGAAAAGATATACGTTAGGGTCTAGGGTGCAAATGGAAGTAACTTTGACAAATGCAAGTGTGGCTGGCGCCGCCACGGTGGCACGGGCACGGCGCCAGTGTGGCTGGCGCCGCCATGTTGGGGTACGGCGCCAGCCACTCTGGCGCCCCAAAAAGGACTAATTCCGGTTTAAGTTTTCCCAGGGGTCTATTTGTAAAATAAGTTTTCAAAAAGGACCAAATTGTAAAAATTTCAGCTCCCTCCGTCCCATAAAAACCAACCTACTACCGAATATATGAATCTAGACATACATATGTTAGATTCATAGTACTCATCCAGTTTTAGATTCGCTTTTTATAGAACAGAGGGAGTAGGAAATGAATAGAATGATATACAATGAAAAACATTTAGAAAATGAAAATCCATGAAAGGCATACCTGAAAATTCTCTAAATTTATGAGAAAAATAATAACGATATAGGCAAGGAATACATTCATATTTGCTCTGTTCAGAAGCTGGATACTGCAGCTGGACTGCAGCAGCTTGAACAGTGTTTCTATTATTGATTTACAGAGCAACGGCTGCAGCTGTGATGCAGCGTTGCCGAACACAACCATTAAATCTCAATTTCAAACTCAACTTTGCCGAACACAACCATTAAATCTCAATTTCAAACTCAACTTTATTTGATAGGACAAAAATATAAAATTAACACTATTCACCCAAATTTTATATTTTGTTTACTTCCAAATAAAATTTAGTTTAAAGTTTAGAGTAAGAATGTATTTTCGTGCCAACATCTATATTTAACATTTTCTTTTAATTTATAAAACTTTTAGAACCGGTTTTCATTGGTTTTCCTTTTATCACATATGTCCCTAAGTATCTATACTTATCTATGTACTATTTAGGTGTCCGTGTTTTACAGTAAGAATTTAGCCACCTTTTTACATAATTTAGCTCTAGCCTCTGTTTGAATTATTACCTAAATCTAAATACTAGATATTATATAACATCAATTCTTTAAACTAGACAAATCATCCCCCTTACTAAATCCGGTGCGTTTTGATCTTACATGCCAGTTCAATCAACCAAAAAACAATAGGCCCCACCTGTAAGTGATTCCCCTCCCCTCTCTTCCTCCGTCGTCGCTCTTCGCCTCCTGCTGCATCCCAGCTCGCCCAGCGCTGCCGCCTCTAAGACCGAGTTTCCAAATCTACGTTCATCTGTGCCATTACAGGCAAATTTGGGAGGGGAGAGACAAGTGCTCGCACCCAGCATGCAACGACGGCGAGGAGGGCTCACTCGCCTCCACTCCTCTTCAATCTTCCCCTTTTCCACCAGATTGATTTCGGCAGGCGAAACAAGTTTTAGTAAGACGAGTCAGCCGCCGCCACTTATCTTCCCCTCTTCCATCAGATCAAACTCGAGAGACAGTAGAGACTCCGACGAGGTGACTTATGCATGAGACAGGAAGGTAGGCTCAAGGTGCTCACCAAGTGTGGCTACTTCCACGGTTCCAGGAGACCGAGCTCGAGCTCAAGCAACTACACTATGCTCATGAAAGCAACGATGGTATCTAGAAGACGGCGATGGCGGTGAATCTGGAGCTCGAACTTAAGCTTCACATCATCGTGCTCACTCCTCTTGCTAGTTTCCTCAACATCCGTCATGCTGCCTGAGGGACTGCTTGGTTATCGCCCGCTACCAAACGTTGTCCGTCCGACTCCCTTTGCTCCATTTCGTGCTTGCGGCTGAGGCCCCCCTCGATGTCGTCTTCGTTGCGATGTTGCCTACTAGGGTCAAGCTGGGGAGGGGATAAATATAAGAAAAGCACTGGCGATCGGGTCCCACGGATTTTTTTTCTAACTAGACTGTCACGTGTGTGCCACCTAGAACCAAAACCGATTTAGATTGAGTGAAGGGGATAATTTATCTGGGCTGAAGAGTTTAGGATTTAAAATTTCTGGTTTTGTAGCTTAGGAGGGTGATCCGGTCAAACATAATAGTTTAAAGGGTAATTCTAACTTTTTCCTTATTAGATTCGCATAAAAAGATACTTTTGTATACTTATAATTTTATTATGTTACATAATTGATATATTAGAAAAACAAACGTCAATTAATTAACGTTTTAGGTAACAGAACTAAATATGTCCAATATTTTGAAATGGAGTGAAATAGAGGAAGTAGTATTATTCGACCCCGAAATTTAGCTCAGGAAAACCGTGGAGCGAACACGTGGCAACTGGCAACAAAATAATCACCAATCACCACACGCGAATGGGAGCTAGATTTCGTTAGGAAAAATCTCAACCCACCCACCCCCCAACGAAATCTCCCATCGAAACCCCGTCGACCGCAGGCCGCAACCCGCGACGCGGACGGCCTGGAAACGTCGCGCCACCAGCCCACCCAAGGTCGCGTGATTTCACCGCACGCCCATCAGGGCCACCACCCGACACAATTACTAACGCCGACCTGCTTCCACACCCCCCGTGCTCTCCAAGAAGAGACGCGACGCGAACGCACGCGACACGAGTCCAACAAAGGCAGGGCCACCACCCCACCACCACCGCCCCCGTCCTCCTCCTCCTCATCTCCTCTCCGCTCCCCAACGCTTTGGCTTTCTTTCCTCCCTTTCCTCCCTCGAGCCCCTCCCCTCCCCCGCCCCAATCCACCGCCACCAACCCTCCCCTCCCCTCCCGATCCGCATCCCCATGACCCGCAAGCGGCGCAAGCACGCCGCCTGATCGCCCGGGGTGGGGGGGGGGGGTGGGAGTCCATGGAGTCGTCGCTGCCGCGGAAGCGCAAGGGCGCGCGCTCCGCGTGCTCCCTCGTCGGATCCTCCCACGAGCCCACCACCGTCGCCCGCAAGCGCGCCTGCCGCGAGCCCAAGCCTCGCCCGGAGAAGAAGAAGAAGGATCCCTCCTCCGATGACGCCTCCGGCCGGGGCGGAGGCGGGGGCGTGGTCCAGACGGCGCCCCCCGCGAGCGGCCGGGCCGCGCCGGAGAGCCCCAGCAGGGGGCTGAAGCGGAAGCTGGGGTGCATCGAGTCCGCCACCCGGATGGGGCGGAAGAAGCGGCTCGAGAGCGAGTACGAGCTCGGCGCCGAGATCGGCCAGGGCAAGTTCGGCTCCGTCCGGATCTGCCGCGCCAAGGTTGGCGGCGAGGAGTTCGCCTGCAAGGCGCTCCCCAAGAACGGGGAGGAGACCGTCCACCGGGAGGTGGAGATCATGCAGCACCTCTCGGGCCACCCCGGCATCGTCACGCTCAAGGCCGTCTTCGAGGACGCCGACAAGTTCTACCTCGTCATGGAGCTCTGCGGCGGCGGCCGCCTGCTCGACGAGATGGCGAGGGAGGGCAAGTTCTCCGAGCAGCGCGCCGCCATTGTGATCAAAGATCTAATGTCCGTGGTCAAGTACTGCCACGAGATGGGCGTCGTTCACAGGGACATTAAGCCGGAGAATATACTGCTCACCAAGGCAGGAAAGATAAAGCTCGCAGATTTTGGACTTGCCGCACGAGTTGCCGACGGTAATTTTTTTTTCTTCATCTTAGATTGATAGTGTTAGTGACACTGATACTGAATTTGAGGCTCTACAATGTTGAGATGCGCTCTTTGAGGATAATCTTATGCTGGGATGCCTCGAGTTGTCTAAGTTATGAGGAAACAAAAAATGTGCCTGCACCAAAATGCATTTTTTGTTGTCATCAGAAACAAAAGTTACCCAAAGGTAGTTGAAGATCAACTGGAATTCTAGCATTGAATTATAGATTAAAAGATGGTATCACAAAGTTAGCATGGACAACGTTTTAGTTAAACTGCATCTAACATGTAATATTTTGTTGTGTTATTGTGATTTAGAGGTGGGTGCCAGGTTTCCACCACAATTCCAACTTATTAAATCTTGACCACTACTCTTTTACCATGATCACTAGTATTTTTGCAGGTTTCTCATATCTACTGGCCATGCATATCAGCTAAATGTGATGTTAATATGTTGGGAGTTGTCATACCCTTATGAGTTTAAGAATTTAAGCAAGCATTGTTAGCCTGGATCTTCTTGGTTTGATCATGTAACAAATAAATTAGGCTAACTCAAGTTTACAAAGTTATGAGGTCCCTCATTTCTGGAGTCCTGTTTAACTTGTCATTGGCGACTGATTCAGTGTTCTGTGTGGTACCCCACAAGAAGAAATTTGTTCTTTCGGGATACAAACGAGTGCAAGCTGTGTGTTTTGGAGTCTTGAGTTGGTAGCAGTGTCCGTTCACATGTCATCTCCATTTGATAGGTATGCTAAAAGAATTAAAATTGGTGAGTCATACTTGCTATTGGGTTTTTGCTTGGGAGTGTCATAGCTAATTAGTTTTAATAGTTTGCATGGATTTAAAAGTTCAAAACATGTGCTAATGGAAATGGTCCTTGAAATTGTGTGCCAATTCTTAAGGAATTCTTGTGCGAATTGATATTTGGCCGGTCTGAGGCTCAATGTAGTGTCCTTGGGCATTTATGACTTTAGTGATCAGCCGGTGTACACACTAAACAGGGCATTTATGACTTTAGTGATCAGCCGGTTTACACACTAAACAGAGTTAAAGAGCTAAGTGCACTACTTGGTCTGGTTATCTAATTCATACTCATGAATAATTAAATTTTCCTTCATGATATGAGCTACCTTACCTTCTCCTGTTAAGTTGGCAGTGGTTAATTCTTTGATAGTAGTCCTGTTTAATCTGGTGCTGTTTACTGATTTAATGTTTCACATAGTGGAGCACGTTCTCATAGGAAATATCTAGAAGTGAGTGCAAGTTGTATCTTTTATGTCATGAATTGACATCAATTGCTAAGAGAAGTGAAGCTTTATTTGATCTCTGTTGCAAGATCAGTCATACCTTTTTTTTTAAGCTAACTCTGCTGTATCTTTGGTTCTAGGCCTGTAATAGTCCAAATCCACCTCTAATCTGTATTTCGATTAGATGCGCTGTTGATTTACTTGGACTCTATTCTTTCAATCATGCTTATATGTTAGTTGAATTTTGATTTTTACACTTCCTTTCCAAACAACACAAAAGTTTTGTGAATGCACTCAGCTTAGTCTGGCCTAGTAGATTAGACAATTTTCATTTTATGCGTGAGCTGATATTTTTGGTCTTAATTGAGCAGGTCAAAAATTGTCTGGCATTGCTGGTAGCCCAGCTTATGTGGCGCCTGAGGTTTTGTCTGGATGCTACTCTGAGAAAGTAGACGTATGGGGAGCTGGTGTGCTACTCCATGTACTGCTGCATGGTTCCCTTCCATTTCAAGGGGGTTCACTAGATGCTGTCTTTGAGGCTATAAAGACAGTTGAACTTGATTTCCACAGTGGACCATGGGAATCAATATCATCTCTTGCACGGGATCTTATTAGTCGAATGTTGAACCGAGATGTACCATCCAGAATTACTGCTGACGAAGTTCTTAGTAAGTGCAAGCAGTTTCTCATCTTGCATTGCAGTTTTATTGGATTTTGCGTTTACATTGTCATTATTTAATAATAATGCTATTTTTCAGGTCACCCATGGGTCGTGTTCTACACAGAGTGCCCTTTGAAGGCTGTAACTGCTAATTTGAGTATTACTAACAATATCGTAGCACCCAGAATTACATGGGACAGAATTAGGTTACATTGCGAGTCAATATCTTCAGATTCATCAAGTCAGAGATCAGCAGATCAGGATGAATGTGGTATAGTTGATGCACTGACAGCAGCAATAACGAATGTTAGGATATCAGAGCCAAAAAGGAGTCGGCTGTGTAACCCAGCCATTCCCATACAGCAGGAATGCTCTTCAAACTTGAAGAGCAACCTCTGTACGGCATTCTGACCCGACCTGATGTACAGCTCCTGATTGGAATGGTGCATATTTTTCTCGCAGAGGTTGGTCTGATGCCAGTTAAAAGGCTCCATCAGGTGGTGTCTCTGAGCTGAGGATAATAACCTGGGTTTCTGTCAAATCAAATAAGCGTTTGACATGGGTATGATGTAGTTTTTATCTGGTGATGCTGATAAACCGGCCATTAGAAGGCCGGTTCTGTAAATTTTGTAAATATCATGATCCCCTTAGCTCCTGGGTTGCTAATCTATGCGTACGTAGCAAATTGTTTCAATTAATGTTGATAAAATATCGTGTGCCATTTCCCTGTGCATGATTCATCTTGTTTCTTTCCAGTCTATTGAGACTAATTTTGTTGGCAGAGGTTTTCAACCTCATATCACAAAATTCACTTCTCTAAACTTTTAACGTACTTCATCATGGATCTATATGCCCTTGTTGTAATGAAGGTATAATTTGCTAGAAAGGGAGTTTTAAAGTATTTCATCATGGATCTATGCCATTGTTCTAGAATAAAGGTATAATTAACTAGAAAAGGGGCTATCTTAAGCTGATACACATCACCAACATGACATCTGGTGCATCTGTGACATGCTATGCTACCACCTGACTTTGGCCATCCCTAGCTGCACCGACGCTACGCCATGTTTTCTGTGGTTAGTGCCGGCGCCTTTGACGTCCTGCCCAAAAGCTCTCGACTTTGTAGCTGGCCGGCCACTAACCCCGCAAGCTAAACGCCAGAACAAAGACTTCCATCTTAAATAGTTTCCAGTTCTTTTGAAATTATCTGGACAGCTAAAGTGTCCACTTATTTTACAAAATGTGAGTAATTTCGCCAGCTTTTGGAACTTGATACTTTAATTTACAGCATGCAAAAGGGTACACGAGTAAAAACTACTCCATATATTCGTTACCAGACTGTCACTGTTTCATGTCATTTAATTGGAGCCTTCGAGGGTAGTCGAGTCAGTCACTTGCCTCCTAAGGAAATTTACGGTACTCCTCTGAAAACGTACGTCGTGCTGAACTATAGTGTGTCCGGCTATTCTCATTGCCGGCCAAGCCTTTTTCTTCTACTCTTTTTGGCATGGAACTCAATACGTGCCAAAGATAATCCATGACTAAAAATGATTTTAGTCAAGAAAAAACATAGTATCTCTTTTCATGTTCATGTCCCTACCCTGTTAACCTCTCTATATATTTTCCTATCAGCTCAACTGTTCAAGTTGGTGCATGCATACAGCACAATGCTTTGAAATGTATGCTTAGTTTAATACTCCTACGTGATTGATGTGCTCATTAATTGTACTAGATAGAATCAGACCATATGTGACTCACTGCCTCACCCTAGCTTAGTACTTGCAACTTTGCTTTGCTCCTACTCAGTGTTCACGGATAACCCGGTCTGACTTTTCATCAACTAGACCAAACTCTTTCGTAATTCAGATTCCCTATGCGCATTTCTTACATGTAGAGTGTCTTCTCCATTTCGTACCATGCATGGTCAACTCGATCCCTCTGAACATTTTTTGCGGCTGCAGCCACACATCATCACCCTGGATGGCTGCATATCATAGCGACATAGCGTGCATGCAAATTTATATATCACAGAAAAGATCAAAACAACACATCCTATGGCTCGTCGTCGTAACTCCAATTCACGTCTCTACTTACACGTAAATTGTACATGATATATGTCAAGTGTCAACGTCTGATTTGGCCTCCGTAGATTGCAGAATCACTGCAGTGAGATCTGTGTATCAATCTATACATACGGCGTGCCCATTTGCACGAGACAATGAGCGTCGTCGTGTGAAATTATAGCTCGACAGCCATGAAGAAGAGCAGAGAAGGTAACCTGAAGCATGTCAAGGGTTCGCTCTGCCTCGTCCCGCCTCTACTTCTCGCGGTGTTCTTCTACCTGCAGTTCCAGACGCTGGGCCTCTTCTCCCCGATCTTCCGGTGCGGTGGCCAGTCCGCCGGCGGCGGCGGCGGCGACGACTACGTCGACCGACTGCGAGCCTCGGCCACGTTCCTCCCGCTGAAGGACACGCGGGAGTGGGCCGAGACGTGGTTCATCAGCACGCTCGACGACACGTCGGAGCCGGAGGGCGAGGCCAAGAACATCGTCTTCCCGTCCGCGGCCTCCGCCGGCCGCCTCCTCTGCATGTCGGCGCCGTCACGCCGTGACGGCACCAGGAACGCCTACGCGCTCGCGTGGCGCGACGCGCTCCCGGGCGGCGCGGAGCTCAGGCCGGGCCTCGCGTACGTGTCCGAGACGGCGTACGACCACAGCAACCTGTGGCACGGCATCTCGGCGCTCATCCCGTTCGCGTCGTGGCACGCGAGGAGCGGGTGCAGGGCGAGGCCCGCGAGGTGGGCGCTGTTCCACCACGGCGAGGTGAGGCTCGGGATGAGCCCGTGGCTGACGTCGCTGGCCGAGGCGACCACCGGCGTGGGAATGGTTGTCGAGACGTTCAACGCGTCCGACGTCCCCGTGTGCTTCGAGGAGGCGGTGGTGTTCAGGCGGAACATGGCCGGGATGACCCGGGAGCGGCTTCTCGCGGCGTTCGACTTCATGCGGTGCAAGGCCAGGGCGCAGTGCGGCGTGGTGGCGGACGTCTCCGACCCCGACTCCGCCGCCGTGCGCGTCACCATCCTGTTCCGCACGGGCGCGCGGGCGTTCAAGGACGAGGCCGCAGTCACGCGCGTCTTCAAGAGCGAGTGCGCGCGCGTCGCCGGCTGCGCGCTCACCACGGCGCGCTCCGACAACCTGACCTTCTGCGACCAGGTACGTACCCCCAGCTCGCTCCATGCATATGCACGCATGGACGAACGAGCAGTGTAATGTAACACGCGTGTTTTCTCTCCGTTTTTTTCTCGCAGGTGAAGTTGATGAGCGGGACGGACGTGCTGATCTCGTCGCACGGGGCGCAGATGACGAATCTGGTGTTCATGGACAGGAACAGCAGCATCATGGAGTTCTACCCCAAGGGGTGGCGAGAGAGGGCGGGAGGCGGGCAGTTCGTGTACCGGTGGGGCGCGGACAGGTCGGGGATGCGGCACGAGGGCTCGTGGTGGGATCCCCACGGCGAGCCGTGCCCCGGCTCGCCGGACATCCTCAGCTGCTACAAGAACCGCCAGATCGGCCACGACGAGGCCTACTTCGCGCAGTGGGCGGCCAGGGTGTTCGCGGCGGCCAAGGAGCGCAAGGCCGGCGGCTCGCCGGCGTCCACGCGGCGACGAGAAGCGCCGACGTGCCAGTGCAGCTAACTGAAGTATGATCAGTTAATGATCAAGTTGCATTGGGTCGTGATTCGTGAAGCTTTACGTGCACGCTGGTGGCATGCAGGGAGCCAGGGATGATAATTCAATGGTCTGATTAATATTGTGTTATACCTTATATATACTTGTATCTGAATAAGCAACCTGAAAAATGCAACTGTAACTCTTGATCCGAGCATTTTTTTAGGTGGACAAAAGATAATTGCTCTATTTTCATTTTTCTTTAATTTTATAAAGATAGCGAAACAGTTCGAGCTCATGTGAGTATGAAGCATAGAGATCATAAGCATCATCTTCACACTTACACCATTCATGGTGACAAATCAACATTTTCATCATCATAAGCATGTAAGATCATTAAAAGTTTTCCATTTCACCTCCCATTTGCATAAATCTAATTCGGAAAGAATAAATCTATACTCGTTGCACTTACTATATCATTTATGCCTATCACGAGTTCACGACTAATCGATTAGTTTTGACTCTATATATTTGTACAGCTTTACTCACACAATGTGAATCGCTTCAGTTTATTCGGTACCTAATGTTAAATTAACAATTTCTTCACTGCTAAGACAATTTAGTCAGTGACTTTGTTTGTAATGCTCTCTTCATGTGCCTTGACTACTGATCAGAACTGCAGTCACTAATCCAGCAATTGTTTGTGAATATAGTACTGCTAGTAACTAATAACTAAATGAATTATTGAACCTAGCATTTCAACAAAGTCTAAAGTGAGTGAGCAGACATGAGAACGGACACAAGATAGGGTGTTGTACATGTTTGTGGGCTCTCGTATGGCTCTAATAAAAGAGAGGCTTAGCGCTAGCGATTTTGCTAAACATCTCCCGCGTGATTTTTTTCCTGGCATTTGACGTTTTTTTGCCACATGATCTTTGCACAAGGCATAGAAGCCCACGAACAGCCCAGCAGCCCATCATCATGCCTAACCCTGATTGCTAACTCCAATCCCGGTCCACTCACTGCCCCACACGACCACGCCCGCACTCGTTCCCCGTTCACATCACATCGCACACACGACGCCGCTTGGATCCGGGTCCGTGGCCAGCACCCGCACCGCCGCAGCACGCGATGCATTTGATAAAAAATAATGTGTAAGTAAATATGTACTTATTATTTTCTTTAAAATATAAAATTACAGTCCTATATAACTAAATTCAGTTGATTTGACATGTAAATGCACTGTAATTTTGATAAAAATAATGTGTAAGTAAATATGTACTTATTATTTTCTAATTACAGTCTTATATAACTAAAATAACATATGTAAATTTAGTTGATATGACGTGTAAGTGCACTGTAATTTTGATAAAAATATTGTGTAAGTAAATTTACATTAGTTATTTTATTTCAAATATAAAATTACAGTCCTATATAACTAAAATTACATATGTAAATTTAGTTGATATGACATGTAAGTGCACTGTAATTTTGATAAAAATATTGTGTAAGTAAATTTGTATTAGTTATTTTATTTTGTAGTCCGTTGGATGCAAATCCAAGGGAAGAAAAAAATCTGGGTGATTTTTTCTCAAAACACCCGAGTGATGAATAGGCGGTCCCCTAGTCATCCGTAAGATTTGATCTGTTTGGGCTTTAGTTTCAATTGGATCAATACCAGTAGGAAAAAGTATACTTTGACTCTCTCAACTATCGCCCGATTATGATTCATGTCCTCCAACCATAAAACCGGGTATATCGACTCCTCCAACTATTAAAACCGGTGCAAACAATATCCCTCGGTGGTTTGGCTGATGTGGTGCCTACGTGGCGGTATTGACCAAGTCTTTATCCTACGTGGCGCTTACGTGGCATTAGGATAAAAAAATAAAAATATATGTGGGGACTCATATGTCATTAAAAAAAATATATTGTGGGACCCACATGTCATCCTCCCTTTTCTTCTCTTCTTTCTCCCCCTCTCTCTCCCGTGTCTCTCTCTCCCCCCGGCCTTTCCCTTCTTGGGACGACAGCGGTGGGGAGAGGCGGCGGCGGCAGTCGGGAGCGGCGGCGGACGAGGGCGGCGCGGGAGAGGAGGTGGACGAGGAGGCAGTAGGCGAGGAGGGAGTGGGGGTCGACGACGACGGCGACAAGGAGGTGGCCCAGTAGAAGAAGGTGAGCGCGTTCCTCGCGACGAGCTCCGGGGAGGAGGAGGAGTGGCGGTGCTTGGTGAGGGAGAGGAGGACGGCGTCGACGTGGTCAGCGGCGGGGAAGGCGGCGGAAAGTGCCTCCCATGTCGCTCTCGGATGGTGCGCGAGGTAGTGGGAGATGCGCTGAGGCGTTGTGGCGGCGGCCGTGGACGTGGACGTGGACAAGGCGGAGGCCGCGGCGAGGCCGAAGAGGTTTCCGCTGCCGTTGCCGCGCCGCGCGAGCACGCGACTGCTCCCCGCTGCCGCCACCGCTGCCACTCCCGACCGCCGCCGCCGTCGCTCCCCACCACCACAGCAGCTGCCGCTCCCCGCCGCCGTCGTCCCTACAGCCGCCGCCGTCGCCCCCACCGCCGCCATCGTCCTGAGAAGAGAAAGGCCGGGGGAGAGAGAGAAGGAAAGAGAGGAGGAGGAAGAAGGGAAGGAGAGGGATGATGACATGTGGGTCCCATATGTCAGTGGGTCCCATAATCCTTTTTTTAATGACATATGGGTCCCACATATTTTTTAATTTTTTATTCTAATGCCACGTAGGACACCGCCACGTAGGCGCCATGTCAGCTAAAACTATCTCCAAAACCACCGAGGGATATTGTTTACTCCGGTATTGATAATTGGAGGATACCCGGTTTTGTGGTTGGAGGACATGAATCATACTCGGACAATAGTTGAGGGAGTGAAAAGTATACTTTTTCCATACCAGTATGACTAGTGGTCCAATAGACATCGGTCTTTATGGGCTCAAATTAACTGGGCTTTGCTGTAATGTGTACTCCTACTTGTTTGGGACTTTGGTTCCTTTAGTCAGATCGAGAACAAACTCCATGTTGTAGTGTGAGCTGCGAATGACAGAATCAAACACATGTACTGTAACTCTCTGAGACATTATTGGGAGCAACAGGAGCTTGAGAATACCTTTTACTTTTGTAGCAGTTTGCATTTCGCAGTTACTGCTTTAAGCACAATGGAGGTAAAAAAAAATGTTGTGATTAGTTCAAAATCACTACTTCAGCAGAATGTCGGTCTGATCTGCTACCTTTCAAGCAGGGTTTCAGCTGTAGAGAAGAACTCCATATCCATCTGACCTAGCTTGATACTCTCGGGTAATATTTGCTTCGGAGTTATAGGAAACTCTGCTCTCTGTGATGTCGAATTCATCACTTACCCCTATCAACTCTAACCTCCAAATCATCAATGATCCGCTATACTTGCTTCTGCTTGAGATCTTCTGGAGCTTCTAGTGCATTTCTGCACTATGCATTAGTTAGGTGAAATTCAACTAGGAGTACGTCACAACGAAATAGTAAAAATTACTCGTACCACACCTTTTTATCTCGATGACCCTACAAAGAAAACAAGAGCATGTGAGAGCAAACAACTTCTTCACAACGGCAGAATAGTGCGCTGACCAAATGTCTCCAACTCTCCATGCCCTCAACGTCGAAGCGAGATAAGAAAAGGCAACACCCGTACGTTTTGTCTACAAACAAAGTGGCGCCACAGTAGCAATAATCTCCGGAATCATTATGCAGCAAGAGCAAGTTGCTCCCGATCTAAACAAGCATTTGGCGAGCTGGACTGCTGGAGTACTCCAAGCAAGTGTAATGAATGGTCAGATATCACATTATAGTGCTGTGTTCCAGGAGCAAACCTATCGAGTGCTCAATAGTAATATGTCAATAGGTGTCTGCTTCTTTTGTTTTATCCTCGTCTTTCTGTGCAGAGATCTTCAGAACACATTTCCAGAGACAGAACAATGGGCAGAGGATAATGAGCAACGACGCATGTGCGTCGTCTATCTAATCCTGCATTTGCGAATGTTTCAGTACAGATCACCAGATGCACTACTCCCCCGTTAGAAAGTACTCCTATGAGCTATTCCCACCGTCACAAAATATGAGGATTTAATTAGTGGCGGATCCAGAAAATCTATTTGTTGGCATCATAACAAATCATCCGTGTCGCCTGACATCGGCCCTTATACCGTAGATCCAACCCTGGAATTTATAGAGTTTGGAAAAAGATAGTAGTTGGAACTAAATAAGAGGGTGCTTCTGATCAGCTGAGATGCGAAAGTAGATGGAAAGATGAAATGAGAAATGATCGTGGTCAGTTAAAATGAGGGTTGGGAGGGAAGTTATTATATTTTAGAAATAAGCAATATTGAACGCTATAAATTATTACATTTTAGATAGGATAAGAGTATCTTTAGCATTTTTTCTAAAATATAGTAGTTCTTTCCTCGCCTATTTCATCATCTAAATTAACCACACTAATTTCTCTTTTATTTTTTGACCTAGATGCTTATCTCAACCAACCACAAACAATATCTCATTTATCTTTTATTTATTGTATTATCTTATCCAATCACAACCATCTCTCATTTAGATTTCACCTCAAATTTGATACTCTCTCCGTGTTCATAATTATAAGTATTTCAAGCATTTAAAGTTGAAAAATTTTACAATCGTTGAGAAAGTACATTAAGGTAACTAAATTTTACATTATAATGTTTAATACCTTGAGATTCTTATTACCTAGATGTATCAAATTTTACATTAGAAAAGATAAAATTACCCTTTAAAGTTTGTCTAGACATATAGGCGTTCTAAAATAGTATTTGTCCATCAATCATCTATTATTATCCATCTGCTTTAAAATATAACAATTTAAGATTGGATTAGACACATCCGATCCTATTCCTAGATAGTTACATTTTATCCAATTCTCTATATTGCGATGTTCTTAGTATTAGGCAAGACGTGTTTAATAGGATCTCTCTAATCCGGTTCTAAGTTGTTATTTTAGGATGAATGGAATATAGTTTAATTTTTTAGTAAATTTTATAAAATTACAGATACTTTGGTCAAATTATAATAAAACAATATATTCAAGGTGATATATCACATATTTAATATTAAATTAATCATAGAACTACAGATTTAAGGCGAAGTATCGTAAAACTATAAATTTTATAACAAAGCTATAAAAAAACTACAGGTTTAGTATCAATTTAGATATAAAACTTGAACATTTATAATTCAAACATAATATTAGTGCTTAAACCCCCAATTTTGTAG